GGTGGTGTTGCCGTCTTTAGATCTCAGGTTGCGTCGCAGGTGGAGTGGATTTAGGCGTATAGACGGAATTTTGGTTCTGCGGCCTGCCTAATGAGGCTATTCACGAGGGAAAGCGAGCTCTGTTGAGAGGCTCGAAAGATGTGTTGATTGAAGTGTGAAGAGCGCGTGTGCGAGGCCAGCTGCGTTGCTGGGAGATTTCCTGGTACCATTTTCTGATTGGCTGACAGCCGCCAGTTGTGGGTCTTGCAGGTGGCAGCTGCCTGCCAACTGTCGGGTCTGAATTGCGTGATTGGTCACGTGCGGCGACTCGGAGGTGCGGGGTCCTAGGTGGATTCTTCCAGAGGAGGCACATCAAAGAGAGCATCATCCTACACACAGCTCTCTGACTCTCCCTTTTGGGCTCATCCGTCCGTCCTCATGAGGTTTCCACATTAGGCAGGCCGCAGAGCCTATACCTACAGTCGCCCGTCGCTGCCGCCGCGGCCGCAGCCGCCAGAACCAGAACCCCATGGTAAAGGGAGGGCGAACTAGTCTCAGCATCTTGAGCTCAGTCAGGCCAGGGCCTCCAACCAAGAATACGACCCGAGATTGGCTCCTCAAGCATCGACTAAGATTCAGACCTGAACCAACGCCGAGGAAGACGTAGGAGATTCATCTGTGGCTGCTTCTTCTGGCGATGCTCATCTTGCGCACTGGTCGGTGAGAGCCACCTTTTGACAAGACAGAATCAAGTCACCGATTCGTCCTTGGACAAGATGAGGGTTGAGGCGCGAGCAAGTCAGCTTGTTTTCGAGCAAAGGAGGGGACACTTGAACTTTATGATGTGGAAGTTGACAAAAACGTGTTTGGACTCGGGCCGTTTGATATCTCAGTGCAAGCAAACTGGTGCCAGAGCCAACAAGACTGGAAGACCCTTTGCCTTTTGTTTCTGGAGCGACTGGAGAGTCGAGCAAGGCGTACGGGCGCCGTGGAGACCTCTCGTCTGGCTCGGAGGAATGGTCAGTCTCGTTTCATGGAGAGTTGGAACTACTCGAACCCAAGACGACGAAGCAGACAGGCCGGCTGATGCGCACGCATGCAGGCTCGGCGTCGGCCCAGGGTACTTTAGAAGCATACGGGACGTCGACACCCGCACAGCCCGGCAGGCAAGCAGGATATTCTGGCTGCATTGACCCGTCCCAGGACATGGATGGCTGGGTGCAAGCCAGATGCAGTCCATGACGGTGGCCAGCGGAGAAAGACTGGACGGATCAAGGCGGGGGACCCATGGGCGTTGCAGCAAGCAAGTGATTCGTCGATACGTGTGCGTGTGTATGTATGTTGGAGACGCAGAGACAGAGACATGTGCCAAGCCGATTTCCAGGCCTTGGTGCACGCGGATCGTGGAGAGGGCCAAGATGGGATGAGGCGGCGCAGGCAACAATGACTCTGGCGCCGACATCTGGGGTGGTGACAATGGGAGCTCAGCGTCGTACTCTGTCTGTCTGCAGTTGGTGGTGAGGTTGAGGACAATGCTGCTGGCGTGGCTCCACGGCAAAAGGACCCTGCTTTGGCGAGGGGCCGGGACCGAGGCCTCGCGGCGTCTGCCCGTCCACCTGTCTGTCATCATTGCCGGCCGTGATTCGCCGACGGAAATCGAGTGCATCGTCATGTCGGTGTTAGCGCACCCGCTCGCGGCAGCCATTGCCGCCCTGGCGAGAGCCGGACCGACGCCAGCTGAGAAGGTGTATATATCATATTCGCATGTACAATTTGCGGAATTCGTGACGAGAGACAGCATGGACGCGCGGGCAGGGGGCTTGGCGAGTGGCCGCGTGCTGGGCGACGTGCAGCCCAGGAGCTCGGATGGTTCCATGGCCATGTCCGTTGGGCTGCATTGGCATCTCTACAAGCCTTGTCCTAGCCAGGCACTCTTGGTGCAGAACCGAGTCCGAGCCGATGCGGGAAATGGACGACGGTTCCTGGGCTCACGGGGAGCGAACGCGGCCTGCCACGCGCCTCCTCCAGCGTGCCCGGGCGAGAGGCCGAGGCTGCCTCGTCTCACTTCCTGGCCAGAGAGTGAGAGTCGACGACGACTAAGCGACAATCAGGTTAGTATAAATGCCCGGGGACGCCTCATCTGCGGCCGACGGCAATGCCCTCGCGGAACAATGTCTGTGTGGGCCAAGGGGCGGACTGCGGTGGGTGATGCTTCGTCACATGGGACAGACGACGCAGTGGAAAAGCCTGTTCGCGCGGGGGACGAGGCGACGCGGTGGAGGGCAGGCAAATCGGAGAGAGAGATGGACGACCAACAAGCAGCACTTTTGATGGTTTTGGTTTAAAGACGGGGGGCCCTCGACTGTGTAGACGTTGCATCGCTGTATATACGCATGCACGTCGTCACGGCCGCCTCCAACCAGGACCAAGAAGGAGGACCAAGAAGGAGGACCAAGCATGTCAGTCAGATGTGTCCAACCACCATGGCTTGTGCAGACGGCGTCGTGTCGTTCATTGCCCGGTCGCTGATGGACAGACTGGTTACACACCAACAGCATGGTGCGTGCTCCTCTGGTGCGTGCTCCTCTGGTGCATCTGCCGTCGTCGTCGTCATGAGCAGGCAGCTCGTCCCGAGTCGGCGCTGGCATGGCCGAGCCAAGCCAACAGGCCAGTCGGCGAGCCTACAGTAAGTACTAAGCCGGCACACGGCATGCAGGCAGGACGACACGCAGGCGGGACGCAAAACTCCGAACATGGCTTCATGCGTGGGGCCGCCGGCCGGGGACGCCCGATTCCACCCGACGATCAAGGCGATGCCCGTCGTCGCCGCATATGCGCGTGTGCAGTGCGTGCGTGCGTGGGCATGCCGTGTGTCGAACCGTCGCGGCGGCCATGGGATGTCTCGCACATGTGCATGAGCAGGCAGGCAGGGCGTGCAGTCTCGTCCTCGTCCTCGTCCTCGTCCTCCTCCTCCTCCTCTGCAGAGCCCGGGCCGCCGTCGGCCGAGGGCGGGAACCGGGGACCGAGAAGCAGCAGCAGAGGAAGGAAGCTTTGCGACCCGACGGGCCTTTGTCGCGGCCCCAGCCTCAGCGCTACCCGGGGGGTGGATTGGGGGGGGGTCCGGCCCCAGGGTTGGGCCTCGGGGAACCAGTCCTCGCGCGTTGGCAGGTATGATGGATGATTAGGTTTTTGCGGTTGTTGGCCGGAAAGAATAAGAAGAGAGCAAGAATAAAAGTTGTGCGGCATGCCTACATTACACTGCATGCACGGACAGTACGTACAGGCCATTCATTCACACACATACACACACACACGCATTCATTCACAGATACACACACGCCATTCCTTCACACACACGCACATGGCACACACAACTCACACACTCATACACACACGCATCCACCATCCATCCACGCATCCACCCAGGCGCATGCGTCCCCCCCCCTCCCTCCCTTTTCCACCACGACGGCCATCATCTTCACCACCACCCACCCGCTCACGCAACGGCCCTCTCCTCTCCTCTCTCCTCTCCTCTCCTCTCCTCTCCTCCTCCTTCCTCCCCCCCCTTGCCTTTTCCGCCGCTCTGCCGCCTGGCCGTTCGTTCCCCCGACAGCCGGCCGACCGACGACGCCTCTGCCGCCCGCCCGGCCCGCCTCGCCAATCACGCCGCAGCGGCCGACGGCGTTAAAGCCTTGGCCGCCCGCCCCTCCGCCCCGAACGGCGTTTGGCCCTGCCCGCACCGACCGGGAACTAACGGGCCACGCTTGTTTCCTTTTTGTTTCTGCCGCCCTCTGCTGTTTGTCGTGCCTCCTGTTGTGCCGCCCGTCTCGCTCTCGCTCCGTACGCTCCGTGAGGCTCTACCGTACATTCCGCGCCCCGTTGTCGTCATTTTTCTTTGTGCCGCCTCGTCTTTCACTGCAATCTTTTGCGGGCCCTTTATTGGCCGGCTGGTCCGCCTCACCTGCAATTGACCGCTGCCGGGGGGGGGCACCCCCGTCTCGGCGATCGGCAACGGCCCATCCATCCTTGTATCGTACTTTGGAAATCCGCCAGAGAAAATGCATCCATTCGCCAGACAATGGAAAGCAAAAAAACAACGAGACACGGCAGAGTCTATTTTGGCATTGCTCTCCATCTTCCAGACCAAACCAAGCTTTTCTCCCATGCCGGCCTTGCATACACACACATACACACAGACGCCCGTCAACCTCGTTGACTTCCGCCTCGCATGCCACCCCCTCCCATCCGCCCGGGGTGATCGGCCTCGTCCACGGGGCTCCCTCTACCGGAGCTCCGCAAAGGCTGGCCACTTTCCCCCTTTTCTTCCTTTTTTTTCCCTCGTCGAGATGCGTCGGTGCTGCATAAGCTTGTAATGTACAAAAGTATGCCGGCCTCTGACACCTCCCACCTCCCCTTTTTCCCCTTTCTTCCCTCTCGACCCTGTCCTACAACACGCACATGATAATCTACATGCTGCCGCCGGCCGGCCCGTCGACTCCTATAACTTGTCTGCCTTGCCCTCTGCGTCTCATCCACTCCCGGCCTCGCTTGTTCGTCCCATCTCGTCCGCCGACACCCCCCCCGTGCCCCGTCACGCTAGCGAGCCTCGACGTCGAGCTCAAACACCTGCTATCGCCGCCCTGCTCAGGCTGACTCGGCCTTGTCCCCTTTCCGACCCTTTTGGGAGCCACGTCGTCCATGTAAGCATATCCGCCTCCCCTTGCGGACCCCTACCCTTGCTCCTTTGGGATTAGATGGCTTGGTGGCTTGTCGCCGTGGTCTATTCGAGTAACACGGGCTCACCGGTTCTCATTCCGTGGCCCAGCATATAAAGACTGGACGGCATGCCGTTTTCTCCAGACGTTCCATTCTGTCCCATCATCGCGTCCCCTCCTGCGTGTGTGAGCCATCTTCTAACGTCTCGCGTAGATGGGTATAGGCTCGCACCCAGCCGGACGCGCCTCGCCTTTCTGACCCGTTTTGCAGACCTCCGAAATACCCAGCCAGACCCCGACGCCAGCATGGATCCGTCCGACGACCCGCGCGTCAACCGGCCCCCCATGAGCGTCGAGGCCGGCCCGTCCAGATGCCACATGGAAACGTCCTTTTACAACATCCTGCACTCGTCAGGCTTTGCCGAATGGGCAGCGCGCGCCGAGGAGCAAAACGAAAGGCTGCGTACCGGCTCGTGGGCCCAGACCAAGGACCGTGACGCCGGCTCCTCCCCGTCGTCGGACAGCAAATCCAGCGTCGAGTCTCCCTCGTCCGTCACCACCAGCACCAGCACCAGCACCAGCACCACCCGCTCCGCCCACAGACCATCGAAAAGAGCAAGTCGGTCGCGGAAGCTCAAAGAGGCAGAGGGGAAGCCGTCCAAGACGCGGTCGACGCGCTCCAAGCGCAGCGACACCGTGGCCGAGGAGGAGGCCGAGGAAGAGGGAGACGGAAAGGACGGCAACCCGGCAGCCAACTTCGTCGCCCACTACTCCAACTACAGCTCCATGGACGCCGAGCTCAACATCCTGACCAAGCATCTCATGCAGCACGGAGGCTGCTAACGGCGTCGGCCCGTCGTTCAAGCCACCGAGTCCCCGTCCGACCAGCGAACCGCCCGACCGTCTGTCGCATCTAGCGTTTGCCCCGCCTCCCGTTGAGCGTCGCCCTCCTCTTGTCCCATTTTATTTTGGCTTGTTTTTTGATTCAAATCCTTCATCATTGCGTGAAGCGGAGAATCGGCGTTGGGTGCCTTGCATTTTGTTTCTGGTGGTAAAGTCATGGTCAGACTGAGCGAGCGAGCGAGCGACTTGGGCCCGCCAATCCCCTTGCTTCGGAGGCGGCCGGGGCAGAGGATGGGGAAGCAGATCGTTTCGTCAGAGGGGGGGCAGAGTGTTTCATCAGAGGCGAAGGAGGGCGCGTCTCGGACTGAGCGACCACGTCACGATGTAATGAATGCGAATGCTGCCATGACAAGAGTCCATGACAGGAGTCCATGACAGGAGCCTGCCGCCGAAGCATGGGAAAGCGGCCCAGCACGTCGCTCGGCGGCTCCTGCCCTTGGCCCCCCGCACGTGACGGCTTTTTCGGGCTGCTATCGCGGAGACTGGGCAATGGCCTTTCCATCTCCTGCTTGATGCGGGCGGCTAGTTGAGGCTTAGTCTAGCCGTGAGTTTGTAGGCTACGCCTGCGCCCGTTGAGATGATGTTCATGTAGCTGGTTATCGATCGCCTTCCGTCTTTCATGCGTTGATCATAGGCTGCTGAATTCGAGACACGGGTGTAGGACCTCCAGGTTGAGCTATTGCCAAGATCCTGCAGGGCATTGACAAGTAGGTGTGCCTGTCCCGCTCCAGAGTAAAGAACGACATAACCTGGTCGACTGGTCTTGATCGCCTGAGAATCTTCCAGGCCAGCGGTGGAAGGCATGTCCGACAAGTCCAACGGACTGCTTGGACTGGGGAAACGAAGCAGCCCTGTTTTGCGTCTGCTGGCAGGTGCTTCTGCTTATCCTGTGCGAAATTCATTGTCTTTGTCGTCTTCGCCAACAATCCTTGACGCCTTGGTCAGTTGTTGTATCTCTTCCCTACGGCTTGTGTCTCCTAGCTTACAGCAGACTGGCTACGATTAAACACAAATCCCTAGTCATAAATATAAACTCTTAGCCGGTAAAGCTTAAACGATAATTGTCTACTATGCCTGTTCTGTGCATGTCATATACATTGAAAAATCAGGTCTGGTTTGCATCGAAGCAACCAGCTTAGAGGATCCACTCCGGGTGGTCTAGTTGGTTCATGGCGTCGGGCGTAAGCATACCCACTAAAGCGTCTGTACGCACCACACACTAACTGAATAATTAGTGTAATACGAGTTATTAACCTGAAAGTCGCGTGTTCGATTCACGCCCTGGAGACATCCTTACTTTTTGCATTTTAGCACAGCGGCCAGTCTATGCCTGCTCGTAAATAGTTCTTGAAATATGTTTTTGAGCTAGCAGGCGATGTAGACGACTAGGGCGTTACTCGCGAAAAAGAGTCATTAAGCCTGTCCTATCACTCGGTCTATGCGTCGGATACCAAGAGACAACATTGATCCCTTACGACTCTTCCAGCGCATCAGCTCCGGAACCGGGGGTTGTTACCGATAGGTTGCATGGAGAAACTGGGCCAGTGCCGCGCCTGGCTTCCCTCATTGCAATAAGCCTTGGTCGCAATCGAGAGCTGGCAATATCAAGACCCTGGACCAACCTTTCAATATGGGCAAGGAGCAGGACCACCCAGCTCAACCTTGCCTTCTACCACGAAGGAGCTCCGGAAGCAGGTAGTGCGGCGTAGGGATGGGGCAAACGAGGCCAAACAGCGCGGGTCCTTGGGCATGAAAGAGCGATGCAATGCTGGAAATCACTGCTCAAGACAAGCCACGTCCCGTGGTGTCCCGTCGCACCGTCTCCAGGGAGAGCAGGAGTGGTACTGTAGGTATTGATCTGTTGGAACAATAGAGATTGTCTGCTGTCGAGGAAACCGGCCGGGGCACTCGCGGGCCAGCTGCCCACCGTGAGTGATTCACCGCGCCAGCCCAGCCCGGTTATTAAAGACTTCCTTCCTCTGCAGAAGAGATCACCTCTCTCTCCTTGGACATCCTCCACACGGCTTCATTTCCTTGTTGTTCCGCTCTGCTGCTCCCTTGGCCATCAGCAGCAACATAGTCAGCAGCAGCCATGACCGAGCCGGCCGCAGACGCCTCCCTTAGAGGAAGGATCAAGCTGCATACACTGCACGCGCACGCATGCACGGTTAGCCCGACGGGCCGCACAGCAACTGGTAGCAACACCAGACCGTGCCCGCGTGCGGCGGGGATCACCGCACAATCACCTTTTCCGCCAGAGACCGTCGACGATCCAACGACCATGTCTCTGACGCGCCCGAACGCTGCGGCCGTGCCTGAGCCGTCGCCGATGGTGACGCAGGACTTCATCAGCAGACAGACCTGCCGACTGGAGACGTCCGACCCGGTGTTCCTGCCGCCGCCTCTTGGCGCCCGTCTCCCACGGTGCCAGTTCATGCATGGTCCGCTGAGCCGACCAGGTCCGCGGCCCGACCACCGGCGACCGGGGGTGTGCCGGCGGCAGCCTCTCCAAGTAGCGTGTTGAGACACCCGTCGCCGGATCGTATGATCGCATTCTGCTCCTCCTTGGACAAAGAACGGAACTCCTGTTCGCCGTCTAGGACCCGGGCGAGCTCGGCGGGCCCGGCTTGGGACTCGAGCCATGCGGTGTCCTCCATGGACATGTCGGGATCCAGGCGCCCGAGCTCTCGCTGCAGTTCCCGGAGGATGGCCTTGTCCTCGTCCGTCTTGGCGGCCGCGTCGTGATCGACCTGTCTTGGGGTTTTAGGGGGTTCTGGAGACGCCCCAGCCGAAGACAACCAGCCTTCAACGCCTTGGCCTCCGACCCCCAAAGCTCCTCGTCAACCGTCAACGGAGCAAACGGTAGACGCCAAGCCTCTCACCGAGCACCCTGCAAACCTCTCAAGCCCAGCCGGTCAACCGGCCTGTTCCCATCAAACGAACGAGCAGCCTTGACGACACGCACCAGTCATGCAATCGCCAGAGACGGTTACGCTTCCCGGCCAGCGGTCGGCAGCCGGATTTCCAGGCCCACCGTCCAGCCTTTCTAGGCCACACCCGAGACAGGGCAGATGGCGCAGATGGCCTGTCATTTAGAAATGTCAACGGTTTCCGATGCGGTCTGGCAACGTACCTTGCGCCGACAGACCTGGCACCTAGTTCGTCCAGGACTCGTCACTAGAAAGAGGCCGGCGATATCGGTGGAAGGGAATGGGAATGAGAATGATGTGATTGGTGGCTGTAAAGAGGTCGGGTCTGGCGACAGCATCACTGGCGCGTGTTATCAAGCAGCTCAGGGCTGCAATTTGCTCAAGCAAGCGGCTTCGTCGGGATGGAAGCGGCGTGAGCTCTTGGCCATCTTTGCTCGTTTCAACCAGTCAATCCAGGCTTTCTCGTCCAACGAGGTCCAATGGTGAATGCGTCAAACGTCGCGGTTATTTGCCCGCCTGCCCGCTTGTTCGACTGACTGCTCGACCGACTGCTCGACCGACTGGCCACTCGGCTGTCTGCTGTGCCCACCTGGTTGCTACAGCATGCCCGCGTTCCTACCATCATAGGCTTCAATCCAAATAGCAGCCGACGGCGAATGCGCGCAGGGAATGGAGGGCCATATGCGCGCTACCGACCCATGTCTACTCAGTCTTGGGCAAACCAGAGTATTCATTCATAATGACCGTGCCTTTATTTCCTCTTGGAATCCTGGGCCTTGCATTACAGCCCCTACCCTAAGACAAAAGGCCATCTCCACCTCATCGCGACGTGCGCAGTCCTCCTGTGACTGACTCGCATCCCAGCAACTTTTGATCATATGGTCTCCATATCATGTCGCTTTGCCGGCAGGCCAAACGGCGAGGCCGCATCGCAAGCCATCGAGCCCGGGTATCTGCGTCCACCAAAGGGGGAAAAGAGAAGCAAAAGCCAAGAGCAGAGCGGGCGTCAGGCGTCACCCGGCATCAAACCGCCCTCCCAAATAACGCCAAGCGCCCAAATACCACGGCCAGTATACCAAACTCCCACACTAAACTCCGTCGCTACAAGTTGCCATGTCACATAAGCGTCTCCGATCTGGCGGCCGAGGTATAGACATTGCCGGGCGCATCCGTCACCTAGTAGCTGAAATCGACGTTGGCCATGGCTGGCATCGACTTGTCTCGCGCGGGCGCCGGTGGGTGCTCGGCGCCATTATGGATGGTGAGGGATGACGAGTTGGAGTGGCCGAGTGTGGTGTCGGTGCTCGAGTGCGTCGACGTCGCCTGCAGCTCGTGTTCGGGGGGCGGGATGCCGCTCGGGGCCCAGCCCTCGTCGAGGATCTGCTGGAAGCTCCAGCTCGGCTCAAACGACTTGCTGTTCCATGCGTGGCTGACACGCTCGTACATTTCGTCAATCTGTTCGAGGCTGATTTTGCTCGTTTCGTACACCATGCACCAGACAAAGAAGACGGCGACGATGCAAAAGGCGCCCCAGATGAAGAAGATCTTGGGCCCAAAGCCCGCATTCCCGGGTCCCGTGCCGACCATGAACGGAGTGCTGTAGGCGATGCCAAAGTTGAGCACCCAGTTGGAGGCCGTCGAGAGGGACATGGCCTTGGCGCGGACCTTGAGCGGGTAGATTTCCGATGTGACGACCCAGACGACGGGTCCCCAGGAGGCGGCGAAGAAGAAGATGTTAAAGGAGCAAAACACGATGAGAATCGTTTGCGACGCGTCTGCGAGGTCACGCCCGGCGGCCGTGGTAAACGAGGCCATGAGCAGCTGGCAGGCGGCCATGCCCAGGGCGCCGACAATGAGCAGCCGGCGCCGGCCCCAGGACTCGATGACGACAAGGCCGGGGATGGTGGAGACGACGTTGATGACGTTGATGACGAGGGACTTTGTGTGCGGGCTCGATATGCTGACGCCGCTGAAAAAGTAGGTGCTGTAGTACATGATGAAGTTGATGCCTGTGAGCTGCTGCAGCATCTGCAGGCCGCAGCCGGTGAATGTGCGCCGGCCGAGGTGGGGAGACCCGACAAAGATGTCCTTGTACGTGTCAGGGCCCAGCGTCAGCTCGTACTGGTGGTTGGCGATGATTTCGTGCAGCTCCTCTATGAGGGCGGGATGCGTTATGTCGAGACGCCGCAGCCGACTGAGCGACAGGCCGGCCGCCTCCTTGCGGCCCTTCTTGACGAGGAAGCGAGGCGTCTCGGGCAGGACGAGCAGGCCGGCGGTGAGGATGAGGGCGGGGACGAGCTGGAGGCCGAGAGGGATTCGGTAGGCCGACGAGTCAGTGAGGCGAGAGGTAATGATGTTGACGATGGATGCCGTCAAGAGCCCGATGGTGATGGAGAGCTGGTACGCGCAGACGAGGGTGCCTCGAATCCACTTGGGAGCCATTTCCGACTGGTACAGAGGCACGAGGACCGAGATGGCGCCAACGCCGACACCGGCCAAGGACCTGCAAGGGTCAGCCAGTCTGTCCCGCGGCGGCAGATGCGTCGGGGTGGCAAGGAACGCTTGGAGTACTCACCTTCCAACTAGCAGTAAGGGAATGGCGTCGGCGCAGACCTGGCAGATGGCGCCGATGCAAAAGACGCCGACGGCGAGGAGGAGGGTGATTCGACGGCCGAGAGAGTCGCCGGCCGGGGCGGCGAGGAGGGCGCCGACGGCGGTGCCGGCGCTGAGTATGGCGACAATGGTGGAGAGTTGGCGGGGGCAGATTTCGGGTTTGCCTTCAGACTGGCAGGTTGTGGAGAATTGTTCCTTGAACTCGGGCATGGCAAGGATGCCGTTGATGGCCCTAATAAAACGTCGAGTTAGCACTTGTCGCGTCACATCGACGATTTGGTGATGCCCTCAGCGCAGCCTGTATCCTCTTGGCCCATCCCGCCATGACACCGCCACTTTTTCTTTTCGGTATCCGGAGTCATCGTCTGAATTCGCGATCCAAATCCAAATTGACTCGGTCTGACAAGGGCGCCTTCATCGTACTGTTGCGACGGCCGGATGCCTATCCGCCCGTACCCCTGACGCGTGTATCCTCCGAAGCAGGGCCGCGCGCCACTTACCCCGTGTCATAGCCAAAGAGCAGTCCACCCGAAGCGACAAAGAGGCCGACCATGATGGCGGGCATCGATGAGCCAGCGACATTGTCGGGCTTGTGCCAGCCCATGGCAATAGCCATGGTTGCGGGCGTTGGACGTCAATCCAGGGTCGCGGCGATGGGTGCTCGGTCGTTCGGTTCGCAACGTCGGGATGCTCGCCCCCGGAGAGGGGAGGGGAGCGGAATGATTGTCGATCCGGGCCGCAGTCTCTGGACCGGCAGGGGCGAGGAGAGGGCCTCGAGGGCGGCGGTGGGCGGAGAGTCGACGGTGGTCAGGCACAACACCATGTGTCTTTAGGCGGCTCGGGGGCGAGAAGCTTGAAACGGAGGAGGCCTGGCCCTGCGATGCTCCTCCGGGGCGCAACGGAGTAGGAAGGAAGAGCAATAGAGGAGGAGGGGAGGAGGAAGGGGAGGAGGGGAGGGGGGGAGAGGCGTCGGCAGAGGCGGCGAGGCCCCGGGATTGATGGGTATAAGACAAGAAATGATGTGGACGCTGTGGACGCTGTGGACGCTGTGGAGGATGTGGAGGGGACGGATAGGATAAGAGGGGGCGAGTTGAGAGAGGGAGAGGAAACTGGGGAGGGACTTGGTATGGAACAGCGGCTGGGCGCTGATTGGGCGCTGTGCGTGGCGCTCCATGGCGCTGGCGGGTGGTGCTGAAAGCGCGCGGTAGCCTGTGCGGACGGCGCGGAAGCACTGTGAGCACAGGCAGACGTCGCACACTGCAGGGCGGGCTCGTAGCAGCCTTTCCACCCGGTTGTTACAGGCAGGGCCGGTAGACGCTCCGCAAAAGGCACTCGTTCGCCCTGCCGCGCCGATCGAGCCTTAAAATATGGACACCGACTGCGCCGGCAGCTGTCCAATCCGTCTTTGCACGTCCAAAAAGGCAATCCGGATGCTGGGAGTCGAGTGCCGGCAGAACCTTGACCCCCTCCCGCGGCCGGCGCTAGCGGTGGCATATTTTTGGCTGCGCTTGAAGCGGTCGCCAAGTGGCATGTTGAGGGCCCTGACGCACGGAGTACAAGGCGCCCCGTCCCCCAAACTCGACGCCATGCCGCGCTGGGTGTTGGCGCTACACATGGTGGGTGGCACATTCTTGTCAGGCGGCCACAGCCCTTCCTCGCCGCTCGGCCTTCTCCTCGCTGTCCATCTTCAGCCTTCGGTCTGGACCCTCTGGACCACTCCCCTCCTTTGCCTCCCTCCAATCCCAGCGACGCGTTGGTTGGACAGACTTTTTGCTGAATCCTCCGCAGCACCGTCGGCCGCAAACGAAGCCTCTGTGGGCGCATGCCGGCGAGGCTCAACCAACGAAAACCTGGAGAGATACGGCTCCCCAATCCCCATCGTCATCCCTGGGGGACAGAGCGTGTGCCATCTGTCTAAAACATGGGCTTCCCCAGGTTTTGTATGATATGATTCCGCAACCCTTGGTTGGAGCCGTGCTAGACGAGATCAAGTCCCACGCACTGTGCGCTGCGATGCCTTCCCTCGGCGCCTCTCCGCCGATGACCCGCGACAAGAGCTTGGAGCCTGCTCAACAACAAGTACCCACGGGCCAAGCGCCCCTCTCGCTACTCGCGGTGAGGCGAGGCGTGCACGTCGCCATGCGCTTACGCTGCTGCGTACGGCATCGTGCAGCGGCCGCTCCGAACTGCTGCCCAAAAGCCGATGCCGCCCCATTAGTCCGCCGCTGTCCAAGGCACAGCCAACCCGAGGCACTGTGCGCCGCCGCCAGGGACTGCCCGTTGTCTCTGAGCGTTGCACATGCGTGTCCTCGACTTCAGCTTTGGCTGGTGCCGGTTGACTCTGGGCCATGGACCCGGATGACGATGGACACAACGCTGCTGGTCGGCCAGGTTTCGGGCCCGGCTTGCGCGCAGGCATGCTGGAGCGAGTGCTGCGACATGTTTTTTTGCGTGATCCGTGTACCTGTTTGTGACGAGACGTCCCCCCCCCTTTGTCTCTCGCGCTCCCGTCGCGGGGGAGGAATGGTGCAGGCCAAGTCTGGGGAGGCGAATCCAATCGCAGAGACGCCCCAAGGGAGTCGCGCCGCCCTGCTGACTTGGATCGGGAAGTCCTTGACGGCGAGGGCTCTGCTGACGGACATGGAGACAGTGCGAGGGGGCGCATGACTCCCGTCCCGAGCTGGTCGCCTCTACATATGATGCCGTCGACCCTCGCTCGAGCTGAGGCAGGGGCTGGCGATGTGCTCTGTGGTGTTTTTCGCTGCGTCTTTCCTCGGCTCCTTGCAAGCGTCTTGACTCGAGCGTTCAGCCCCCGCGGCCGCCTGGATGCATCCATGCCCACTCGTACATATATTTCCGTGCTGCAGAGAAGGCGTCCGCGTACGGTTCCGCGCATGCAGGCGGGCAGGAGGCCCTCACTGCCCTATAGATGCATGGCATCCAATGATGCAAGCCCTAGGCGACGCAGGCCGCTCGTTGTGCGACGCGGGTTTAATGACACGGCAGCCAGTAACGGTGATGATGACGAGAGTGCGCGCTCTATTTCCCCGGAGCGTGCCCACTCCCCTCCTCTCCAACAGACTCCGTGACGGAGTGAGGGTGAGAGGTATCACACACCACCACGCCGACCCGTCCCCTCCACCACCGCGGCCATCACCACCAGACTCACCCACTCGTCTCAACCCTAGCTCGCCCCCACTACCCGTGCCACGCCCCACTTTATTTGGAATTCGCAAGCTCCCACCTCCTAAAGTTGGTGCTCACCACCAGTATCCCCACACCACCGGAATACCCAGAATTTCGACTCCCCGACCTAGAATCGCTTCAACCACCGCGTACCACGCTCAGAATCGCGTACTTCCACTCGTTCTAACCTTCCTGAACCCTCCATTGGCGTGCCTTTTTTGCTGCTTCCTCAAACCATCGCTTGCGTGCGTTATGCGCCTTTTTCTCCGCGTCTTCTACTACCTTCCTTGCTTTAGCAATCTGATCATCTCCCCTTTGCACCATTTCCCGTCCTTGGGCCACTGACAATACTCCTCCTGATTGTAACTGTATATTCTTCATAGCCTTACGTTGTTTTTGGATCCGCTCCGCCATTTTGGTTCGTCCCAAGTCCCTTTTAGTCTGCACGAGCTCAGTCGCCAGAGATAGCGATCCTCGAATAAATCGACTGAGATCGTGAGAAAAGTCAGGATCAGGCTTTATCGTCTTCAAGGACGAGATCTAATTTGTCCGCTACCTTGTTTATTTGTCGTAGAGTCAATGGTGTCTCGAAAGGTGAGGAGTGTGGTCCTGAATTGGGAGGAGGTGTGGGTGTCGTGGCTTGACGAGCTTCAAACATTGAAGTACTACTTGTGGATTGAATGGGAAGATTCCTGTCTTGCGAAATGCGGAGCGTATAGTACTCTCCTTGAAAGCATGCAATCGTACTTGTTGAATGCAGGAGAGAAACTCAAGCTTGGTTATGTTGACGAGGCCATCTCGAACCATGACATCTAAAGCCTTGGCGTGATAGTGCTTTAGGGGCTGGAAAACGACAACGTCAAAGGCTGAAGTGCATGCGTGAGATTAGGCGGCATGCCGAAGGGAATAATATTGTGGTTGTCGCAGTATTCAATGAACTGCCTGGTATGGTGAGAGCCATGACCATCAAGAATTAGAAGTCGCTTCGAGCTTCTTGAGCTTTTTCAGTGCTTGTCAAAATGCTGGAGCCACTCCAGACTAATCACGTCGTTTGAGTAACCAGTAGGCGTGGGTCGAATAACTGTGTCAGGATCTAGCTCAGGTATTTGATACCATGAAGCCATGTGCATCTGGCCAGCGAGTATCAAAAAAGCCGGAACAACCTCCCCATTCGCCGAGATAGCTTCGATCGCAGTAGCGGATTCCCTATTCTCAGGAATGCCAAAATAATGAGCTCTCCTCCGTTTTGTCACAATCAGCTGGTCTTTTCCAACCCCGATGCGAAAACCAGTCTCGTCCATATTCAGATATCCTCAGGAGGTATACCATTGTCTTGGATAACCTGCCGAAGATGCTGGAAATACTGGTTAACTCGTGTAAGATTCTCGGAGACTTGGCGCTCTGCTTGAAGCCTTTTCGGCGCTTTTGAAGTAGCCGTGACGCTTTAAGCGAGAAGTCCAGTTTGGCCCCACGGTAGGAGCGTCGCGCTGGCTAGACCGCTCGCGCAAGATACAGTTTGCCGCGTCAGTAACGAACTCGACGCGTACCGCAAGGTTTATATTATCCAAACGATCGATATAGCGACATAGGGCCTTCTCTTCTGGTTCGGAAAGCCTCGTATTTCTAGCTCGCTGGCCAGTTTTAGGAGGTCGGCCTTGAAGACGGTATCGCAATCGATCACGTGTTACACCGAATTCTCGCGCTACGGTTGCGACTTTAGCACCGGAAAATTTTCAATATATCGAAGAGCGTTTTGTACACGTGCTTCCATTTCGGCTATCGACGAGATCGTGAATTGGTTAAGATATAGGGATGCTGAAGTCGGGGAGTCGAAATTCTGGGTATTCCGGTGGTGTGGGGATACTGGTGGTGAGCACCAACTTTAGGAGGTGGGAGCTTGCGAATTCCAAATAAAGTGGGGCGTGGCACGGGTAGGGAAAAAAGCTGGTCGCCTCTTGGAGTCGCTCCCGCCGCCGCCCCGGTCTGTCCCTTTGCACCGCCCATCTTTTCTTTTCTTTTTTTCCCCAGCCAGAGCATCCACGGTCGCCGCCACTCCCTGATTTTCTTTAACGCGTGTCCCTCCCTCTCGTCCAAGCGCACGCGCACGGTACAAGGGGGAGCGAAAGGCCCCCCTCGCCAAAACGTGCGCGCCGGTATATTCGACGGAGTACATGCTCCCTATTCCTCGCCAGACTTGGGGCCCCGAACCGAACATGTGCTATATATCATAAACGACAGACACTCTGCGCCCTGGACACTCCTCTTCCCGTGCGAGGGAGACAACCCGGGAGAAATGGACACCCCAACATTGCAAGCTCCTCACTCCTCCCGTCCTCTCCCGGGACGCCATGCCACTTGGGCCAACCTCCCGCTCGTGACCACAAAGGACCATGGCGCCCCAAGCCAAACCAACCAGCCAATAAAAAGGGGTGCCCTTCTCGCCCCCCCTCTCATCCGTCCGTCCGTCCTCCGCCACAACCGTTTCCGGTAGTTTGGGGTGAGAACCGTGCCGTGACTTGTCAGTTATCTAGCTGCTGATGCGGCACTGTTCCGCCTAGCCGTCTTGGACCTGTTGCGAGTTGGACGGCTCACGACGTCGAGATTCAGGACGGAAACAAGGGCTCTCGACAGACCTCTTCCATCCAAAAGTACGTCCCGAGTCCAAAAGCGTACACGTAGCATCTTAAGAACGCAGTACTATCGGACTACTCGCTGCATCGCATATTCACCGCCAAAACTCACCCAAAGTAGCGTCATCACCAGAGTCATGGCACACAGATTATCCAAAACACGCGTATTCGTTTTCACAAGACCGAGTCCCGACCAATGTAGGCACATCTGTAGATAGCTATCGATACATACATCCAAAAAAAGCTTCTTAATACATGGAGTCAAACGACCCCTGTCCGATACGCCGTGAGAAGTAGCCAAAAAAAGCACACATCTGCCCTTCAGCAGCCTCCCTCGGGGCAGGGGAAGCGCCCGATCCAGGCCCGGGCAGCGACGAAGCGCCACGTCTTAGCTCCTGACCCGGTCTCGGGCTGTACACGGCGCCATGGCCGGGTGAGCGCCGGTCCGGCCGGCTACCCGGGATTCCTCCCGAAATCTCGGCCTCCAACAATGGTGCCGAGTCACCAACGCAGGCGAGAGGGGCGGGTACGTCAAGCCAAGGCCATCCCTACAGCTCGAGGCTGGGCGTCTGCCCCTTGACGCGGCCAATGACCTGCTCCGGCGCGTACTTGGGAATCACCTCGTCGTCGTGCAGCATCTCAAACTCCTCGGTCGCGTCGCGGCCCATAAAGTTCATGATGGCCTGCGGCCCGCCCGGGTGCTCGTCCAGCCAGTTGCTCAGGTCCATGACGACGCCCTTGACCACGACCCACAGGTCGTCCTTCGTGTTGTGCTTGGCAACCTCGTCCATGGTAAACTCCTTCTCCGGCACCTTGAACGACTTGGGGTCGTTGGGCTTGGACGCCTTGGCGCCGCCGTCGGCGGGGGCCCCGACGGCCGACGAGGAGCCGGCGCTCGACAGCTGCTGCTGCTGGCCGGTGGGCCCGGACGAGGCGCCGCCGTTGGCCCACTCGACCGTCAGCTTGCCGGGGCACGACGGGTCGAGGTGCAGCGAAATCTGGCCGATGCGCTGGGCCGCGGAGCCGCCGCCGGAGCCCTGCAGGGCCTGTTGGAAGAGGTAGTTGCTGGCCGTGTCGCCGGCGACGCGGCCGTAGACGACGCAGCCGAGCAGGGAGGAGCCGCCGAGGCGGTTGGAGCCGTGGACGCCGCCGGCCAGCTCGCCGCAGGCAAAGAGGCCGTCAAAGGGCTGCTTGTCCTGGTTGAGCACCTGGGCCTTGTCGTTGATCTCGACGCCGCCCATGGTAAAGTGCAGGACGGGCTCCATGAGGGCGACGTGGAAGTCGTCGTCGACGTCGAGGGGCATGTTATGGAAAAACTTCTTGCCCCAAGGGTCCTTTTGCTTGCCGTCGGCAATGGCGTTGTACGTCTTAAAGGTGGCCTGCAGGTGGTCGGGGGAGCAGCCAATCTCCTTTGCGAGCTCTTTGCCCGTCATCTTGCGCATCAGGCCACGGCCCGAGTAGTGGCGGGTGTGGAAGTCGAGCGTCTTGGAGGCCTTTGAATTGAGGACGAGGCGGATGGGGAACTTGCCCTTGTCCTTTTCCTTCCACATCATGCCCGAGACGTAGTCGCGGTGGCCGAGCTCGTCGCAGAAGCGGTCGCCGTCTGCGTTGAGCAGCAGGCCGCCCTCGCCGCGGAGGGCCTCTGCGGCGAGGAACTTCCACTTGGAGCCCGGGTCCTTGGGGTCGACGAGGCCGGTGGGGTGGACCTGGACCTTGTCCATGTCGATGCCGTTGCCGCCAATGGCCATGACCATCTTCTGGCCATCGCCGGTGGCGTGGGTGCCGTTTGTGGTAGCGAGGCCGTACGTGTCCGGGCGGTGCTTCTTGAGGAGCGATGAGTCGCCAAAGTCGGCGGCGTAGCCTCCGGTGGCGAGGACGACGGGGCCGTCGAGGGAGGCGGACTGGCCGGCAACCTCGTAGGTGACGCCCGTGACCTTGTTGCCCTCCTTGTTGAGGCTGGTGACGCGGGCCTTTTTGATGATCTCGACGCGGTGGGGCTCCGTCTCGGCCAGCTCCTCGAGGCGCTGCATGAGGGCGTAGGTGATGGCCATGCCAGGGAACTTGGCGTCGTGGCCGCGGTGAGTGCGCGGCTGGGAGTGGCCGCTGTATGGTGTGTCAGCGACGGTGGTGAGCGCGGGAGAAAGAGCGCAACGTACCCTAACCGGGAGACGAGGGTGAGGTCGAGGCCAAAGACGTCCTGCAGCCACTCGACGGCGGCAGCCGACTTGTAGGTGAGGACCTTGATAAGGTCGGGGCGGGCCTTGTCGCGGGCCGACTTGAGGGTGTCATCGTAGAACTGCTTGACGCTGTCGGCAATCTGGTGGTCGACCTGGGTGCGGGTCAGGGCGCCGTTGATGCCCGAGGTGGCCTTTGTCGAGTTGCCTCCGAAGAAGCCTGGGGGCACATGTCAGCACGTGAAGGCGATGGATGTGCCTTGGGGGGGACATACCCTGCTTGTCGAGGACGACGACGTTGCCGCCAGCGAGGTAGATGGTGTGGGCGGCGCTCAGGCCAGACACTGAAGTCGCCGGTCAGCACGGAAGCGCGAGGCACGGGGGGGGAGAGGCAACGTACGGCCGCCGCCGATGACGAGCACTCTGGGAGCCATGATGGCAAGCTTGCTTTGCGGGTGATGGCACGACGGTGGGAAGGGTTGAGGGTGGATGAAAGGCTGCGCTTGCACCAGACAAGGCAGATGCGGTAAAAGGGATGAGAGGCAGAGAGGGAGGAGGAGGAAGGGGGGGGGATGAGGGAGACGAGGAGGATAAAGGTTGCCGTGGAGGAACAGGCCCGAGGATCTCGAGTCTTAAAGAAGCCGGGGCGCCGAGGAACGGGGGTTGTGGGGGCCCCTAAGGGAGCGAGGTGCCCCGGGCGCAGCAGCCGAGGTCAAAGTCTACAGGGCACTAGTCTGGATGATGATTGCCGACGCTGTGATAGGCCAAGGGCGCCCGGCGGTACATGCGGAGCGTACTGTACAGGGCGTGCATGCCCCAGGTACCAGCTCGCCCTGGCTGAACCGGGCATGGAATTTGATATCGGACGCTGCTTGGCAGCTGTTGACAAATGGACGGGTAATGTCTTGCTCGAGGCCGAAGCCAACAGGAAAGGCCGAGGTGCTGCTGTGGCAGACCGTCCGCTAACAGTCTGGGGGAACCAGGGAACCAGTAGCCGCCGCAGGTTTTCCTTGGATTCAGTGCCGAGGCCTGGGCATTTGTGTGTGGCTAAGTGCTGACACTCATCAACACATGCCTAGAAATTAAAGCAAAAAGACTTGAATGTCTGGCTTTGGAAGAGTTCTGTTCAGGAACGAGAGTCGGTTGAAGAGGGAGCCCTCTGCAGCAGCAAGGCACCCGTGCATGCATGTACTTACTGTACCTGCCCGTGCATGCAAGTACCTACTGTGCTGTACTGTCTGTACAGTAGGTAGCCCGTCGGCTGCTCCGCCTTCTAGACTCCGCTGCTGGCGGGGCCAATGCCCCCAGGCCAATGCCCCCAGACCAAGACCAAGCACCTCACACTCTCTCTGTCCTTTCGGCGACGGCGGAGAGGAAGGAAAAGAGAGGCGCGAATCACCGCTCCCGCACGGCTCGTTGCCTTTGTACATGAAGCAGACGGTGCACATGATATTCGTGCAATATTCCGGGTACGTAATGGGTGCCCTATTAGCCTTGACATGTGAATCCCTGCCTGGCCCCTCCCTCCCCCACTGCCCTGCAACCGCGTAACGCAAACCACTGCCAAAAAGTACTCGGTAGTCAGATGATGCCTCTGCTTTTGCTTTCACATGCCGCCGCCGCCGACTCCCTCTGCAAACGCCCTTTCTTTGCTTGCCGCCTGCCAATCGTACCTCATGACTCCCTCTCTGCTTCTCCTGCTTCCCCCCCGTCCGCGTGATGCTCTGACTTTTGTTTTTCTTGGCCTTGCTTCACCTCTCCATCGGCACTCGCCTTCCGGGTTCACGCCTTCCGGGTTCACGCCTGCCAAAATCCCGGCCCCATACCTACTAGGCAGTTCATATGTATATGTCATGTATATTATCCCTCGTGACCAGCTTTCCCCGCCTCCTCTTCCCCGTGGCAATTCTCGCCGCTCACTGCCTCTTCTGGTCCGTGACCTGACTCCATGAATCATTCCGTCTCCAACAACCACCTCTCCCTTCACGACACTCTTGCCGGCGCGCTATAAGCCAAGCTATAAGCCAACTTACCCACCGAGACCTGGTTCCTGCCGCCGCCGCAGCATCCGCCTCCCGGTCCGCTAGCCAAATCCCTTTCCGTCCCGTCCCCTCCTCCTCCGCCGCTATGCCGTCCCCTCCCCCGGACCCGAAACCCCACCCCTCCGTCCCCCTCGCCGACATCCTCGGCACCCACCGCTCTCTCACCTCCTTCTCCTCCGTGACCCGCATGCACCCTTCCTCCCTCGCCTCCGACGTCCTCTCCCAAACAGCCACCGCCTCCTCCTCCACTACCATTGTCCTCGCCCCCCTCAACTCCGCCATCGACGCCCTCCCCCGCAAGCCCTGGGAGGACCCCGACGACTACGCCGCCCTCGGCCAGTCCGCCTACGACGGCGCCCAGGGCCAGGACCGCGCCAACGCCAACCTGCGCCGCTTCGTCGACCGCCATCTCGTCGTCGTCGAGGCCGCCGCCGCCGGCTGGCCAAGGGGCCAGCGCGCAACCTCCCTCGCCGGCCGCGAGCTCTGGTGGGATGACGACGGCAGTGGCAACAGGTTCGTCATGCCAGACCACGTCGAGGTCGAGCGCGTCGCCAGCCGCGTCGCCACCGGTGAGGTTGTCAGTGTCGCTCGCACCGCCTCTTCCCATCTGGTGCTGACCTTGCCTAGTGGATGCTCAAGGGCGTGCTACAGCCAGCAACGCGCCATGACTCAACTCAGGGCTAACTCCCGCCCCGAAGTGAGAGGCCGTGATGCGAGGCTGCGCATTTGGAAATGCACTCGTCTACATCCTCCTCCACCCGCTGCCCTTCTAGTTTGGGGACGGCTCAGCGACAATGTACTTGGGAACAGCACGGTTGAGCAATTGGTCCATTTTGGTATGTATTCAGATCAGACCAAGCACCCCCTTTTCTCCACTGTGCAAACCTCAAGACCCGGACACCAAAACGCCTCTTGGAACTCGTGGCCTCAGCCCTCATACACACTGCCCGAAGCTGCCGTCACATCACCCCGATGCACGGCAGTATCCCTCAAGCTCAACAAAATCAGGGAAACAGTGAACCAGGGCAAGGGAAACAAGCTCAAGGGACAAGCCCTTATCCCCGCGCCCGTCTATTGTGACACAGCCCGCTCGACCACTCCGTGTTCCATGTACATTTTGTATGAAATGTACTTTTCATATGTAGACATGTAGACAAGGCAATGCCTCGTTTGGATATCGATCCCCTTTTCCTAGCCAGTAAGGCAACCCCGGACGAACAAGTCGAGCCGCGGCCACGGCCCCTAGGGGACATTGGTTGAACACGGCAATCTAGACCTGGTTTGACTCGCCCACACAGCAAAAAGTAAATATAAACGATTTGAAAGAAACGGCAGTATCAGTCGAGCGCCTTAGATTAATGGGTATCTGGAATTGCGGATCGTGACTGCGTGATCCGCGGAGATGGAGGAAACAGGGTTCAGAAAACCGATGGGGGGCCAAGAAAATCAACCGGAGTCGCTCTTATGCGTACTCGACCTTGATCCTCTTGGGCTCAGCAGTTGCCCCGTGCTTCTCGCCCAGGCTGCCGGCCCCATAGTCGGGCGACTTTCGCTTCAGGCCGCCCGACGCCGCGCATGAGGCGCCGTTGCTGTTGTTGGGGGCCGTCGTGCCGGCGGCCATGCCTGATCCAGTGGCCGCGGTGCCGGCGTTGCTGCTGGCCGTGTTGCCCAGGGCGTGGTTGTCCTCTCGCAAGAAGCTCGGCCCGGAACCAACGACGGGCGTAGCAAAGTTGAGGGGACTCGGCAACGTGTGGTTGTCGCTGCCGCGAAAATTCCAGTCCGGATAGAAGCTGCTCGGACTAGGGAGCAGCTCGTTGCCGAGGAAGCGGGATGGCAGGGCGGATGCGGGCGTCTCGCCGTTGACGTTTTGTTGGGGCGGCGGTCGAGCAAAGGGGTTCGGCGGGCCACTGGCCCCCGCTGACAGCAGCGCCGATGCCGACGGCGAAGGAGGCGGGAGGACAACCGACGAGTGCGAGTTGTGCCGCTGCGGTGCATTCGTCGGAGTGACTGCGGGATTGTGAGGCGAGATTGACTCCCCGGTGGCACTGCCGGGCTCCGACACGCCGTCCGGGATCTGGACCGTGAGCCGAGGCCCCCTCGGGCGCGCACCGCCAGCCGGAGCGGCGCTAGCCTTGAGACTGCTGGCCCGGGAGGGCGGCGTAAATGCCGTGTCTGGACCGGACGAGAGGGAAGGCTTCCGGGGCCGGTCGAGGCTGCCTTGCGTGCTCGAGCGCTTCAGCTCAGGAGACGTCGCAGTTCCGTCGCGCAAGGCGGGGGCGGGGGCGTCGACCGACTGAGAACGGTTGTGGGGCGGTGCGGCGCCGGCCGGACCCGGCTCGGCCTTGACGGCCTGCGGCTCGGCGGCAAAGGAAGCCAGGTGCTGGGAGAGGATGGAGCGGTTTTCCTCGATGGGGGTGAATATGCTGTGAGACTTGCGCTGCGGCATCTTCTTGACGGCTGTATCGGTGTTCAACAACGGCGGCTGCGGTCGGTCCGAGGGCTCCGTCTTGGGCTCGACTGGTGGAGGGGGCTGAGGGTCTTGAAGCCGCCGCTCGGGGCCTGGCTGGGGAGTGGGAGGCGAGACATAGGGCACCGGATGAGGCGGCAGGTGCTGGGCATTGGGCTGGGGCGGTGACGGTTGGGGGCGGGCGGCGACGGGAGCGGCGTGCGACGGGGGTGGAGGCGGGGGCGGGGGCGGAGGGTGCTGTGTTGGGTAGCCTGGAGGTGCCGAAGGGCGGCGTTCTTCCACGTAGGACTGCTGGGGAGGTGGGTATGAGTACTGCCCGCCGTGCTGGGGTATCAGGCCGGGTCCATTCGCGGATGGGTTGTAGATGGGCGGAGTAGGCATATACGTGATGCCGGGATGCGGCCCCTGGGGACCCCCGACTGGCTGCGCAACCATGGTTGGGCCCAGGCGCCGGACATCGTTTCTCGAGCTGGGACGCGACCCCATGGGCGGCTGGGGCGTGGCGCCCCGTGGGTTGTGGCCCGGGTGGTGGTAGGGGACGCCGTTGGCAATGGGAGGAGAGGCGGAGGGAGTGTGGTGGCGAAGGATCTGGGAAAAGGGGGGCTGCTGGCCGTGGAACTGAGGAGGCATCATCTGGGGCTCGACACCTTCGGCTGCGCGGGGAGGGCTTGCGTCGACGTCTTCGTCGTCTTCGTCATCGTTGCCGCCATTGAAGTCGGCGGGACCCTTATGTTCGTTGATGGCACCATGCTGTCAACGCGTCAGCAAGTTTCGTTGCACAGGAGCATCGTCGGCCACCGCACCAGCTGATATCTGTGGATGAGATCTCGCATGTCCGAGGACGAATACTCGTAGAGCTTCTTGTTGTTGCCAAAGATGAAGACGGCGACGTCGACGGAGCACAGTACGGACAGCTCGTGCGCCTTTTTGAACAGACCACCTTTCCGCTTGAGGAAAGTGCTGTGGCCAGGACAAGTCAGTCAAAGCCAGGAGGCTAGAGGGAGGACAAGAGTGCATACACGGAGCGGTTGCGGTCATCTTTGATGGCCTTGATCTCTATCTTTCTGCGCCCCATGATGGCTCGGTTGCGCCGTCGAGATGATTAACGGGTCGACGGGAAGGTGCAGGAGCGACGGGCCAGAGGCGTGGTGGAGGTCGGGGACGGGGCGACAATCGACGGTAAGGCAGGTTCGAGGGTGGGCGCGGGGCCTCGTCGCTTGGGTGGCGGTTGGCCGTGGAGTAGCAGTCGAGCGCGCAGTCGTCGGCGGTGGGTGTTGGCCGTGGGGCGCGCGTCCAGGGCACGAGGGGATCGGGTGGCCCGAGGGATGATGGCCGTGGCCCGTGTGGGCGGGTGCAGCAATGATGGGCCGGGATGGGGGGAGGGAAGTGGCAAGAATTGAGACAGGGCGAGGGCGGGAGGGAGGATCAAGGGTGCTTTAAGATGAAGCCGGGGGCGAAGGGCGGCAGACTTCGCTTGCGAGACGTCAAGGGCAGCGGGCGCGCTTCTTTTTGTCCTGTTTGCGAGAGATGGCTGTGGAGGGTGGTGGTACAGGCAGCCGTTTCGTCGACACAAGCATGGAACGGCAGCAGCAGCAGGCGGGCGCAAGCGTCGAGGGATGACGGGGTGGTGTGTGCAGGGCAGAGGCGCAACGGAGGGAACGGCGTGTGTCGACAGCGCAGAGTCGCCGGGAGGCCGGTGGGAGCAAGGCCGAGGGCAAAGCAATGGAGGGCCGTTGGAGTTTGTCGGAGCCGGCGCAGATGCTGGGCGCAGGACGGGGCTGAATCTGGCGTGGGAAGCTTCTAATAATAGGATCAAGATCGTGTCGAGGTAGGACGGAGGGGGAAGAGGGGAGCCCTGGAAAGGGGAAAAAAGAATTTGGGGAGAAAAGAGGAGAGCAAGAGGGCGGAGGCTCGAGAGCGAGCGACGCGGCGGGCAGGCAGCAAAGGTGGGCTCTAGGCAGGTCTGGTTGGCCGGACCCCCTTCCTTGCTGGGGTTTCCCTCTGTCCAGAGTACAATAGGTAGGGTAATGAGGTTTTCTCTACCGAGTACTGTACGGTACTGTGCTGTACGTATACCGAGCGAGCGAAACGGTGGCGGGCCGGTGGTACCTGGGGCTCTTCGGAGAAGAAAGGACTGCACCCGCTGCTGCGTGTCTGCTTACCGTGCCTGCCCAGGTACCTTGCCTACCTATCCCACTACACAAGGTACTCTGTACATAGCACGTACCTACCTACCTATGCACTGAATGAATGAAATTGGAAGCAGTACATACAGTAGCTCAATGCATGCACCTCGCTCGCCGTTTCATGCTGAACAAGACACAGACTGCGCCGTCCATTCTATTCTTCCCTGGCCACTACTTCTTATGGCAGACCAGCGGAGCAACAATGGGACAAGGTGGCAGCTGGATGGAGGGGTCGTGCTCTTGTCCTGGGCTATCCAGGGCTACCTCGCGCCGTGCACGGGTTCGGCGGGCGGACGCGGGTCAACGGCGCTACGGAGAGACCTCCGTCCGCGACCAGTTGGGCCGGGCTTTGCATGCCTCGTCCTGGGGAAGCTCCGATGAAGGCCAGGGGCATCCAGGCGGCCCGTGTTGCTGTCAATAGAAGCAACAGGACAGAGTCTTCTCATCTGCCTGTCGCGCCGAACATTCCGTCTTGAATCATCCACCCTTTTCCGGCCAGGCTGACGGCGGGCGCGCCAAGCCCTAGCCGGGCATGAATCGCCTGTGCCGTACTCGAAACAAAGGGCACCGGCAGACAATCATGCAGCCTGTCCGTACAGGTGGACCGAAAGGGCCGACTGGGACGGGTGGGAGCGCGAAGATGACCGTCGACGTGTGTGCAGCCTCCCTTGGCTGGGACTCCGCGCCATACAAAACGCCCGAGACGAACACTCACCGCATCATGCATGTGCTGTACCGACCGTACTGTACAGCCCCGTCCCTGGACAGTGCAGATTCATCTTCACCCACACAATGGCCATTGTCCATCTCCCAACTCGTCTGCCTCGACCTTGCTTTGCTTCCTCGCGGGCAGCAGTGCGATCCGTTCGTCGTCGCAGCTCGGCTCTACCTGCCCCGTGCCCCGTCATCGTCTTGGAGACTGTCGCACACGACGCTGCGTCTTGCCAACGTCATCTCCAAGGAGAACCGCCTCATCCATCATCCCCCCCTCGGTGCGCCATCGGTCGTTGCATCTCTGCATGCATCCGGCTGTCTTTTCGCCCTCCCTGGTTGGCCCAGAGACTTTGGCAGCGACAGGCATCGTACGAGTCGCGCCATGGCCTGTCTGCCCGTGGTTTTCTCCGCCTCTGCCACACGACCGCGGAGGTTTGGCCGAGGTGCAGACCACGCCCAGCCCTACTACACCTACTACAGGGAGATGGTGATACGTACATGGTGGTTGGACTCCACGTGGTGTCTATTTGCAACCACGCAACCCGTCCTTCATCTCAGATCCACCACCCCTCCATCTCCATGCACTGCAACCCGCCAAGAGGCTCGTTCCTGTCCAAATACCTAGGACGGTTACAGCATCGTTGCTCAACGTTGAGCCCAGTTGATTTGATCTGGTTACCGTAGTACTCGCTAAGGCCAACTTACCCAAGTACCGGTACCTGATACGTACCTAGGTAGGTGCTGTAAGGGTGTCGTTGCTTACCTAAGCAGCGGGTCCTTCGTAATGAACTTACTCCATATCCGTATCCGTACCGACACCGACACCCACAGACATGAAGCTTTTGGCGTCTTCACCAGCAACGCTTTTGCCTCCATCGTCAATGCCTCTCCTCCAACGCCTTGACTCAAGAATCACGACGACGCGCCCTTTCGCCTCTTCTTCCTTCTCCTGTGCCTTCTCGACCAGCTAACTGTCCCGGCTGAGCGCCTCCACCCCGTTGCAACATCGTCATCGCCCCCAGACGCGCGTCCAGGAATATTTTCGTTTATTGTCGCTCTTCGACGGGCGCTTAAAGTTAAGACGTTTTGGCGCCCGCGTCCAATGCTCACCTGCTTGCCAACCAATTCAACTTCACCCCCGATTCTCGCAGCCGTCAGCCGAATTGCTCCACCTGCGCAGCTGATTGGCCCCCAACTTTAATTCTATAAATAACCGCCTGCCTCCCCTTGCCTCCAGCCCCGGTCGAATGCCGGGTAGGTAGTTTGCATCGTGCAGATGGTCAGGTTAAGAAGGTGTTTTCTCGTGGCACGCGTCTCGATTGCGCTCCGGCCAAAATGCTGAGAATAGAATGCAGGCTGAGACTTGGAGCCCATGGCACCGACCGAAATAGCCGCAGCACGACGAGGCTCAAGTGTGGCGGCGTATCAACTTCAAGGTTCTGGCGTGGATGCCCCCTGCTCACGATGCTAAGAACTGGCGGCTACATGGACACTTCCGAAGCTCGGAACCCCAAGGGCCGCCTCCCGGAGGGTGCACAAGCTTTCGAACGGCCCCACGCGCATCCGGGGCTCTAGAAAACCGCCGCACACGGCTTCAGAGCTCTGGCGTCTGGCGTCGCCACCCGACAATGGCCATGCCTACTAGGGCAGGTCCCGGGGCCTGCCAAACTGGTGATGGCGAGATGATGTGACGAGGGAGGCGCTGAAGCGAGTGTTTGAAGGCAAATCCCCTTTTGGAGATTGAAGATGCGCGAAACGGCCTGCTCGAAGGGCAGATCATCTACCGCGAGTCCAGGCCTCGGGACCCCGCCCATGGGCTTGGTCTGCACTCTGCTTCCCCGCACTCTCCACCATATTGGGCTGCAGTCACGGATTTGGATGAATGGAAACTGATTCGCACAGAAACGCGGAGAGCATCGGGTTTCGCAGCCTCAGCCGCCCGGGGCTCCACTGAGGGCATTGCGAATCATAGGGTACGAAATTGGTGCCAAAACATCATGGCTCTTCTTTTCCCCGCGCTCATGATCTTCCAGGGTTTCACGCCGCGTCAAAAACTATTTCCAGGCCTCGATATATCTCATATGTCGATGATTGGGGACGGCGACTCCGGCCGGAGGCAGAGGATCCACTTGTCAAAAATGGGTGGCGGGGCTTCGTCCCACCAATCGTTTCACACCGTCGCCCGGCCCCGACATGCCTCAAGGACGGCCCGCATCGACGAAGGGAAGCCGTACTAAGGAGAGGGTGGGTTTTTTTTTTGGTTAATAGAAGCTGGGTCCGGCCGCGTCGTGTCAAGCTACAGTAGCTGATACGACAGCCGGGCATCATGACGAGGAATGGAGAGCAGACGGGGCCATTCTTGTTAAGGGGCGGCAGTATCGTCAGGCACTCTCTGCTTCTCTTGCCGTCCTTGCAAGCCTGGGCGCAGCATGGTGCCCACTCGGCGACGCGGGAGGCGGATCGAGGCATTGACTCGCGCAGCACGCGGCAGACTGACTCGTCTTGTCGCCAGGCGCTTGCCCTCCACAGTGCACATTTGCTCGCTCGCAGGAGGTCGGTCATTTTCATTCTACGTGATGGATATGCGGCTGATCGTCACTGATCCCAGGTGGTCGGCAACGGCGGACGGAACAGTACATCATGGACCAATCTGTAGCGACGCCTTTTGGGCGCCTACGACGGCAGATAGTGGTGATGATGAAGGTCTCATCCTCCAGGCTACCTTTTCCACTCGGCATCTGGCTGATCGAACAGTCGTTTGTCCCTTTGCGGGTTGAGGCCATATGGTTCTGTTGAGAGTCTCGATCTTGCCGTGATTCTTCTTTTCAAGATGGCACGCGCCATTGCAACCAGCATATTGCGCTGCTGGGCCGACCCCCCCCCCCCTTGCCTGCACTCGACAGCCGCCGACACATTGCTTGGCTGTGACCTCTTTCGGCGCCGGACCTTGTCCTTGCCGCATGAGCCACACAGGTCGGGTCTCACGCACTCGACAGGCTTCCATCTCAGCTCACCCATTTTACATCAGCATCACTCAGATACACGCCCAGCCGGCCCCATCGCGCAGCCGCCGGCCAACGCAGCCCATTGGCTCAACCCCCCTTGCTTCTAAAAATATCGCGCTTCCCCCGCCTATTTCTCCGCACCCGTCGTCTGATCGTCCGCAGACGCCCGAATGATCCCGGGGCGGCGCCTGCGAGACACGCGACATGCTTCAAGGCTCAACCGTAAATAGGAACCGACATACTTTTCACCCTGGCGTCGATGCCCGTTCCGTTCACGCTCAAGATCGAGCCCTCACCGGACTCTCTGCCCATGCCTGAGCCTGAATTATTACCCGGGCTCGCGAGCATGGTCACCTCTTGGGCTCTACGTCGGGCCCGGTCGCTGAGAGCAGCAGTTCTATCAAGCCCGCGCTCCCTGACGCATCGACTCGTGGTATCATGCGATGTCTGCGTACGACGGGCATGTGGCCGGTCGAGGCTTTGCGCTTGGCCACCGCCTGCTGGCTGCCAAGGTTCGTTGGCCTCCATACTCCTCGTATAAGCCGTTGCACGGTTCGTCGAGGAACCCTTTCTTGCCACCGTACTCTCGATTCACAAAGTTCTACTTCGTGTCCGTCGACTGCGAGGCGTCGTCGCCCCAACCCCACCTGAGAGTTTTTCCTCGCCGAGTGAAGGTCGAGGAACCACGCGAGGTCACGGTATCTCGACGAGAACCACGCTACATTCCGCGCCTCTGCTTCGGACATGGTAAACAGCCCGTGGAAGTCGTCGCCCGTCGTCTTGCCGGAAGCACCGTCCCGCACATTACGACTCTCAGTAAAGGCGACTCGGCAATCTCAGAGAAGTCAAAGTTGCGGTTGTGTCGACGTCGACTCTGTCCTCGTCCCCCGCGTTGGCGCTCCTCGCGTTTCGGTTCCTTCTCCAGCCGGAACTTGTGCCAGGCTAATCGTTCCAATTTACTCGCAGTCGTCAACGATTTCTCGGCCTCATGTCACATCGCCAGCCGGTAATGTAGCCTTTTCTCGACTAACCGGTGGTCCATCAATGCCTCCTCAACGACATCGGAGCATTCTTCCTGCTTGTTCAGCCTTTCAAGTATCCAAGTTCAACACATAGCGGCCTCGATTGGACCTACAAGACCCTTTCACGGCTCCAGAGCCCTCTGCGTTTCGTATTGGCTTTACTATTTTACGTACCAATTATCCGTGACTCTTCTTCACAAGTGGGAACGATGACATTCTCGTTCTATTATGAACGGGCGGCATAATGCAACTCAGCTAAAGCCCCTTGGTCAACTTCGACTGCCTAAAGCACGCTCACTCAAAGGTAGCAAGAAGGTCCAACCAACTCCGAGCTGGCAACGACTCTCGACGCTTTTTCTTCATCCCATCCCTTGAACCGTTCACATGACAGGCTATACCAGCCGTTGCCCATACCGTGGCTGTTTGGCTCGTAATCCCATGGCCGTCAAGGACTGGGAGGCTACTTGCTAGGCTATCAAAGTATCCGTGTTGATGAATGACGCGTAGACTTCAAAACAACAAAAGCTATGGTGGTATTGAGATTTTATAAGCATTATTAAGCTTAAAGCCCGACGCAAGATTGAACCTAGGGAGTAACTTGTGCTTTAAAGGATGAGACGTTAGGATAAATAGAAACGGCTCGAAAATGGCGGCTGGCGTTTCTCACAACAAAACTGGCAGCTTGGTCGTGAGTGTCTCTAACGTTGCCTAAAAAAGAACTTGTTCAGACTCTGCTCAACGTCAATAAAGGTATGGTTTTCAATCTATATCTAGCTGCTATACCTCTTATGTGGGCTCGATACCGAATCCTTCACTACTTCGGAAGTGAGACTCTGGAGCAAGGTTCCATCAAGGCCCCTGGACGGTGGTCAACTGGCCAGTGGCACCTGTTCGTGTGGAGATCAATGGCCTTGCTATCAGCATCAGGCATCAACCACTTAACGACTACAGCTCCGCTATCGGGGACCGGGTTCTTCTCTCCACCGTATAAAGGTCTGAACAAATGTCTGCTCTATATTTTTACGTATGAGATAGATTGTGACTCGGTTCGAAAACTATTCTGCTTGCAAGTGGAATGCCGGGCAGAGCAGTGGACGTGGTCTATTCCGTGCAGCTAGGCAACGTCGTCTGCTGTGGTAAACTGATGACACCCCGAGCTTCCCGGGCCGTGGCTAAATAAAGCCAAGAGTATTCCCATCCAATGTAGAATTGCAAATATCCAGTACTCTCCGTCGTGGTGTAGGCTAGGAGCAGTGTAGCAAGCTTTCACGGCCTATGCCATTCCTCATACGCCACTCAACGTCGGGGGCCTCGGGAAGTAGCTGCTGGCCAAGACGCGGAAGATGCTGGCAATCAATACGACCCCGGAAATTACATTCATGCTTCGGAATAAGAACCGAGTTCAAGCTCGCAGAAATTTTTCGACCGCCTTATTTCGTGCTTTACACCCAGCCCTGGCTCCTGAACTCCTCGTATCCCGAGCCGACCAGCCTTGCAACAAAGTAAGACCCCCAGATTCCCTTGACAAGAGTATAACCTTGGTATACATCAAGAGATACTAAAGAGCAAAGCCTAAGGAGACATGCAGGGCGCCCCCGAGAATGTCAGAACACAGGTCTTGTCTTTAGGAGGCTACATAAGACCTAAGTATGTTATGTCGGCCTGCGTCCTCCCCCTTCCTCCTTGCGGGTATAAATACACAACCGACACACGAGCACATACATATACCTATATGTAGATGTTGGTGTACACCCTTGCTTGTCCCATGTTGGAGGTTGACCCTGATTTCTCCCCTGCATGACATGGATGAAAGCCACGAAGCCTTCAGAGTCCTCGCGCTCTTCAAGCCCGCTGTCACTACGAAAATTTTCCCGGAAATGCGGCGTGAATGATTGGCCCTGCCCTTGAGCTTATGTGCCCTCGAATTCCGCAACGCCCGGTGAACTAGGGGCACAATAATGAATGACAAAGTGCTGGAAATTTCTGAATTGAACCCCCTTGAAAGCTGAAAATACACATACATGCATACATATATACATAAATTTCAAATAAATCTAGTTCTTGAATTGTCTTCATTCTGGATAGGCTTGTATCTTATTAGATTCAACTTATTTGTTTGCAAGCCTAGGAATAGGACTGCTATTCCTGAGCGGCATGCACATGTGTAAGGAGGCCTGATTACCTTGCATATAGTCTCAAGAATCTCTGGCTGTTCGTAGAACTCGGCACCCTCGTGAATTGCTACTAACTACAAGCAGAGAAGCCACGAAGCCGTAGATACAAAAACCATCCAGGATTTACGAGAATTCGGATCCACGCTAAAGGGGGTGCTCCGCCTCGTCCGCTTGCGTGGCGCCACCAATTAAGATTTCACACTCGCCCAGTCCCCCAATTGCTATAAAGCCTGGGATTTATCTCCATTCTGATTCCTGGATTGCTGTTTCCCATCCGAGAATTGCATTATTCTACAATTGCAGCTCCCAATGGCGACCAAAGGCCCGAGATCGGATGAAGAGGGAAAAGGGGACCATGATTGGGATGCCCCTCCCCCATATGAATTGCACTCCTCCGGCTCTGTTCTTGCTAGCTCCTTTGCTGTCACTGGTACGGTAACTCTAATAACGACATTATCTGGCGAGGATACTGAAACTTTGCAGCCGATGGTAGACTCAATGTCGAGTTCTCGTCGACAGCACCTCAGGAGTTGGAGAGGCTTCTGCCTCCAGTGCCGACACCTCAGCCTGGAGAGGCCCAGGCAGAGATTCGATGCCCTACTCTTAACATCGTCATTCAGGTTGTTGGTAGTAGAGGTAGAGTATTTGACCAGATCTATCCATCCCCTGCACAAAAGGACCGTGGCTGAACCTAGGTATCACAAAGGCGATGTGCAGCCGTTCATTGCCCTGGGGACGGCCCTACGCAAGTATGGACACCGGGTCCGACTGGCAACCCACGATACCTTTGCCAAATTCGTGGGGGAGTCCGGCCTGGAATTCTATCCTATCGGCGGCGATCCGGAGGACTTAATGGCCGTACGTACACCCATCTCCCACCACCTGCGAGGTGGACGGAATCACATATTTGATCCCGCCATATTAATATCATGGTCGTGTCTAGTATATGGTCAAGAATCCAGGGCTTATTCCATGCGTCGAAAGCCTTAAAGGGGGCGACATACCCAGGAAGCGAAAGATGATCTCCGAGATGCTTCACGGCTGTTGGCAGTCATGCATTCAACCCGACCCAGTTTCCAAGAACCCATTTGTGGCAGACGCCATCATTGCCAATCCTCCAAGTTTTGCTCACATACACTGTGGGCAGGCCCTCGGTATACCTGTGCATATTATGTTTACAATGCCGTGGACGGCTACCAGGGCCTTTCCTCACCCCCTTGCCAATATCAGGGCTGAAAACATCAATCCCAAGGCATGCAACTATCTCAGCTATGGGGTGGTTGATTTGATGACTTGGCAGGGGTAGTCAACTTCCAAACTATGTCGCCACGCTCCCGTCCTGTTTAGAGCTAACGTTGGTCTCCTATAGCCTAGGCGACGTAATCAATGGATGGAGAAGGAGAGAGCTCTTTCTCGAGCCCCTAGCAGCCAGCATGGGTCCTGACATACTAGGGTTGTTAAAGGTTCCGTACACTTACTGTTGGTCTCCAGCATTGGTACCCAGACCGGTTGACTGGGATATGAGGATCGGTAAGCCGCCTAATGAGATTATGCCTTGCGCCGTCCTCGGCTCTCTGACTGAATAGATGTCTGCGGGTTTTTCCTGCGCGAACCCCCAAAGTACACCCCTCCGGACGATATCGTAACTTTCCTCGCAGCAGGACCGGCTCCATTATACGTCGGGTTCGGCAGCATTGTCCTTGAAGACCCCCTGCGCATAACCAGAGTCATCAAGGAGGCATGCATAGAAGCGGGCGTCCGTGTCATCATCTCGCGCGGATGGAGCAATCTAGGCGGAGATTCCCCAGCCACCGACGATGTCTTGTATATTGGAGACTGTCCTCACGGCAAGCCGCACCTAGCAGCGTTATACACTCACCCCGTCGACGCTAACACCGGGCTTTAGAGTGGCTATTCCAACATGTGACAGCCGTCGTCCACCATGGGGGAGCCGGCACTACTGCTTGTGGTCTCTACCATGCGCGGCCAACACTGATCGTGCCATTTTTCGGCGAGTGAGTTTTCTCCCCTCGAACTTGATGCAGACGGCAACTAAGACCAGGTAAAGTCAGCCGTTCTGGGGTGATGTTGTTGCCGCGCGTGGTGCTGGACCAAAGCCAATTGCCTCCAACAAACTGGCCGTGCAGAACTTGACCGAAGCCATCATGTACTGCCTCACAGATGAAGCAAAGCGCGCAGCGCAGATGGTTGCCGACAGCATGCGCCACGATGACGGTGTGAACTCGGCAGTCCGATCTTTTCACCGGCATTTGGATACTGCCAGCATCAGCTGTGATATCCTACCTCAGTACGCGGCATCGTGGGTCTACTCGAAGCAGAGATCTTTGAAGCTGTCGAATGCGGCACTCAAAGTGCTGGTTGCCCAGAACCAGCTAAGTCTATCCGACGTCGAGCCGTACGTGTCCTCTCGTGAAACTTATAGCGTCGGCTAATATGGTCAAGCTACCGGCCGAGGCAATACGACACGCAAGTATCTCGATGGGATCCCCTTACAGCTGGAGCTTCATCTGTGCTGGGAATAGCAACCGAGTTTACCTCTGCTCTAGGTGGGACTTTTGTTGATCCTTACAAGGAGTTTAGGCGGGCTCGCTCCAACGGGGTCGATTCTTCTGGGCCCGCTGCGTTGGCGGCTGGAAAAGGTGTCACGAATATGGCCACTGGCTTTATAAAGGGAACTCTAGTAGACTTTCCCCTTGCCATGGCCGAAGGATTGCGAAACGCACCCGCGCTTTATGGCGACCAACCCGAAAATCATGGCAAAGTCACAGACTGGAAGAGCGGTGGAGCGGTGGCAGCAAAGGTACGTCGATTGCTTTCTTTGGTCTTCTCCTAGTATAGCCAGCCCTGACAACCATGTTAGAACTTTGGGGCCGGGTTTTATCAGGGCATCACGGGAATTGTCACCAAGCCGATGGAAGGTGCAAAGAAAGAAGGAACCGTCGGGTTACTTAAAGGTCTCGGCAAAGGATCTATTGAAATGGTGACGAAACCAGGAAGTGGTAAGTGAACTTTTTTTTCTTGGAAGTGGACATCTTCACTACTGTTTCCCTATCAAGCTTTGTTAACAACCCCCCTCAAGCGATGTTTGGCGTGCTAGCATATCCAGCTCAGGGTATCTATAAGAGCATCAGGTCGTGGGACAGGAAGGCGTTCGAGCATGCAGTCGAGTCTCAAAAGTGGTCTATGTTTGAGACGGACCGGATACAAGGAGATGCTGTGGAAGTGGTCACTAGATTCAAGAGCTTGATGGATAAATGAACGGATCGGTAGTTATTTAAAGCCTAGGAGAGGTTTTTGGCTTATTCCCCCAGGGGCATCGTGGCAAGGGACGTGCTAAGCTAGTCAAGCCAGAGCATAGTATTTAAAAGGGGTCAGGCACAAGAAAGACCACCTCCTAGTATTGTCCATTGAAGCAGTTGGAATAGGGGGCGTTTGTTTTTAGCTTGTCGGCATGTCAACGTGCAAGGTCGTGTGAAGCGGTGTCAAGTTTTGCGTGTGTCCATTTAGACAAATGGCAAGTCCATGCTTGTAATCTACAGTTAGGTGATGCAATCTGACCCAAGTGATGTATCTTGATATCCCGACGCGGCAGGTTCTCGTCAACGCCGTCTCTCGTGGGTGAGAAAGAATGAATTCATCAATCTATCTGCTTTGCCACCTGTGTCACTCGTGTCCTGATGCCTAAGGCCATCTCAAGTTGCCGTTTCCTTGAATCCGATCTGTCCCTACCCGACTCGCCAAGTTGTGTTAACAGTGTATTTGCAGACCCATTGGCGACTGCCATCGGATTTCTGAACACCATAGCCAAATCTTATACCCAAGATGGTGTTGCAACTTGGAGTCAGCGACATCACAGCACGTCAATCACCGCCAAGAGCGTGGTTTCACTCCAGTCCCTAGGCATGACGCATCTAATCTGATCACTTGCAACAAGACGGCTAGTCCGGACGACGCCGTTAGCAAGGCGGCCGCCGGTATTCTTCCTGCTGCCGGTAGCGCTCCCGCCACCGGTTACGCTCCCGCCACCGGTAACGCTCCCGCCACCGGCAACGCGCCCGCTTCCGGCAACCGGGTGCCCGCTGCCGTCAGCCAGGGGGAGGCGGCTGCCCGGGGCGGCATCCCGGCCGAGGAGGCAGAATCTCTCCCCCGGTGCGAGTAATGTCACCGTCGTGCGGATGATCGGAGTATACACGTTGAGTGAGGGGCAGGAGGAGACGCGATTCGCTATGTAACTTGAAGCACATAATTATCAATAGGATCCAAGCCGTACAAGGCTCTTACTGAACGAGTGTCAAGTCATGTTGTCAACTTGTCTGTAGTCAGTCTTGCTGGCGCGGCCAGTGTGTAAGGCGGCCGATTTCGTTCTGGCAGCCGTCGAAGGTAGACCATAGGACGGCCCGTTGAGGAGTGGAATCGACCGTAGGAACAGAATATCCGATCGATTATGAGATTTGAGAGACGTTATGCTGTTTGACGGCACTCGCGACGTCGTGAATCGTGATGAGAAGAAGTGGACGAGTTATCTTGGTCATTGGCAACCGGGGCGGGGAAGGCACGTGATGGTGCGACAGCATTATGTAAATGACACGGGCGAGATGGCCAGGGACAGGCAGGTACCGGCACGAGCACAGCCACAGCACACCCCTCGCCCCTTTGGCGCACAGGAAGAACGGAGCGCACGGGTACCCCCAAGTATTTGCCTGGCACTCCCTGCCGCATCTCCCTGCAGGCCTGCACCTCAGCATCATTCGCCCCAAGACATTGCGTCACAACTTTTGGGTTTGATTCCCTGCCTTGGGCTACACGACACAATGCCACTCATCGGCTGAAACAAACAATCACCGCACCCCCCGGCGCCTTCTCCCCGTCTCCCCTTCTCCCCTTGTCTTTGACCTTTCGTCTCCTTGTCTTCTCCCTTCCTCCGTTGCTCTCCCACTCGCCGACTTCAACCCGTCATCTGCTCCACCTCGAAGCTCTCGTCACGTCCGGCTGGGGCTTCATCTCTGCCTCCCCCGACTCGCCATGGCCGACGCAGGCCTCGTCCACGCCAGTCTCGTCTGGGTCACCTACGCCATCGCCGTCTGCTGCTGTCTGCTGGCCGCCACCATCACCACCTTTACCTGGCAGACGCCGCGCGACCGCTCCGCCATTGTCAGCGTCGTCGCCATCGTCTCCCTGACGGCACTCCTCGCAACCGTTCTTCTGCTCCCCGTCGACATCGCCCTCGTCTCCGCGACCGTCTCTCCCGCCCTCGGAGCCAAGAAGACCTGGGCCACGCCCGACCGGGTCCGCAACATCCTCCTCACTCTCAAAATCGTCTACTATTCCCTCTACAGCCTCGATGCCCTGCTGTGCCTCATCGTCATCCCCTTTGTCTACTTCTGGTACGAGGAATATGACGAGATTGAGTTTGAAGAAGAGGGCCGCACCTGGAAGAGCCGCTTCTGGGCCGCGACAAAGTACACCCTCTTCTTCGTTGCCCTCGTCGTTGTCCTCTTCCTCCTCGGCTTCTTCGTCCCCGCCGCCGGCGACGCGTCCAGGGCCCACTGGGACCTCGACTATTTCAAGGACCTCGTATCCCAGAACCACGGCGAAAAGGCCCTCACCTTTGCCCTGGGCCTGCTCATGACTCTAGGCACCCTGCTCTACGTCGTCTACACGGGCGCCGGCCTCGCCCTCATGCCCATCTCCTTCATCCGGTCCGCACCTTCCATCTCGGCGCCCCAGCTGTCCGCCACCACCGCCTCCCAGCTCGAGCAGAACCGCGAGCGCCAGCGCCAGCTCGAGATGCGCAACGCCGGTCGCGAGGAGGGCATGTCTCGCAAGGACAGGCGCGAGCTCGATGCCCTCGTCCGAGAAGAGCAGACTCTAGTCAGACGCGCCCGCCTCGCCGCAGAGGCCCAAGGTGAGGGCAGGAGCCGCGTCTACCAGGCGTGGCTCAAGGTCTGCGCGCTTTTCCGACCTGTCAAGATGCTGGGCGGCATTCTGCTCCTGCTCGTGTCCCTGCTCATTTTCGTCTCCATGTTCATCACCGGCATCGACAAGGCCAAAAACTCCATCTGCAAGCGACGCTGCGGCTACATTCTCGGCCACGTCCACGTCTTTCAACCCGTCAACTGGATCTTTGTCCGGGCGGCCAAGGCGTTCCCCGTTGACTACGTCTTGATGACCCTCCTGGTCCTGTTTCTGTTTAGTAGCACCGTCTCGGGTATCGCCGCCGTTGGCATCCGCTTCCTCTGGATCCGTGTCTTCCAGATCAGAAAGGGCCGCACTGCTCCCCAGGCGCTCTTGACGGCGACGGTCATGATGGCGCTGGCAATCCTAGCCATCAACTACGCCGTCGCCATGCTCATCGCCCCTCAATACTCCACCTTTGGCACCCAGACCTTTTGCACCAACGAACCCGAGCACCCTGGCGCGCAGCCCGTCTGCGAGCGCCACTCGGACCTCATCCGGCCATGCTCAGAGGTCCTGGACGCCAAACATGCCCGCGACGTCTGTACCCCGTCCGTCATGTCGACGTTTCTTAACCGCATCAACATCACCTGGCCGTTTTTCGGCATTGTCGACTTCTGGGCACAGTACGCCTTCCTGGGCGTGTTCCTCATCGTCTTCGTCACCGCCCTGTTCCGCGCCCCCAAGGTGAATGTCGCCGAGATGGACGAGGATGCCGAGGCGGACGAGGAAGAGAGCCTGCTGGCCACGACGGGGCGTCGCTTCGGCGCGACGTGGCAGGACCTGAGGGGGAAGCCAGCCAGCAGCGGTCCCCGAGGTGACGGGGCGACGAGAAACGGCGGTGGCTCGTCAGAGGCGCATTGAGTGCGTAACCGTTGGGATGTGCTTTCAAGCGATTGTCGGTTGAAACATGCAAAGCAGAAATCATGAACGGGATTTTTTCTGTGGTCAGAACCGTGTGCGGCTACGATGGGACCACGACTGGGAACGGTGTTTGGGATGACGTGTATGGCACGCATGGTTGTGTTCCCTCTTTGCTCAGTTTCACTGTTTCTTTGTCCCTGTCCACTATTCCTTGGCTCGGAAGCGGAGGGAGACATAGTCGGGGTTTACTGGCAAAGCCTGGCCGCTCAAGGCCCAAGATGATTATGAATTTACGACGCCCCTAGCGCTATCTTCTCTTTCTCCCTCTCTCTCTTGCCCGTGAACTGAATCGCCTTGTGACTGTGCTCGTCAAAGCCCGCCGAGGGGCCGAGGTGCATCTCCCACCAGCAGCGCGAGCAATAGGGATCATGGTCGCAGCCAAGGCAGCGCAGTGTGGCGTCGGCGAGGCAGACGGTGCACCACGAGTCGACGTCGTCGTCGGTGTAGGCGGTCCTGCTGGTGAGGCGGCGAGGCGCCGCGGCGGCGGGATTGCCAGATGCCGAGGGCCGGGAGGTCGGGACTGAGGGGAAAGAGGGTGATGGAGAACTGGAGGATGCGCGGAGGACGGCCATGCGCGCGGCGATGTCGTCGCGGGGGGTGGCGGCGGTGGGAGGGGTGGTGATGGTGGAGGGAAGGGAGGGGAGGTCTGAGGGGAGGGAGGGGAGTGGAAGGTCTGAGGCTGGCGCTGGATTGTCGTCTGGATGCGGCTCCCCTTGTCTGCCTTGCTCTTCCTCATCGTTGCCTCTTGATTGCGGTGCATCTTGGGGCTCGCCTTGCCCCAGAGCCGTGTCCAGCTCAAGCTCGTCCTGGAACCTGGCGATTACGTCGTCTGTCTCCTTGGTCATTTGCTCTCCGTCAGAGTCGTCAGAATCCCGATCCTTGGGCCCCTCTTCCCCATCCGTTGGGATCGCCGCAGCCAGTTCCTCCAGCAGAGCCTTGACCTCGTCGTCGCCGGGCGGCTGGGGAGCTGCAACGTGGCCCGGCGGCTGGTCGTCCAGGTCGCCGCCGAGGAGCTCCTCTAGGGTGTCGTCGTCGGTGCGAAAAAGGGCCTCTGCGTCGGTGTTGTCGTCATCGTCTGAGAGGCCTCGCTGCTGCTGCGACGGAGACGGTGTTTCGTCATTCGGTGGATGACGGTTGCGCAGATGAGGTTTCACGTCCGTGGGCGAGTTCTTTTTCGCAGGCGACGAGATGGCTGATGAGGGAGAAGAGGAGAGCCCGTCGCGGTCACGTAGGCGCTTGAGGCGGGCGGCCAGGGCATCCTCGCGCGTGGGCGTCTCTGCGCGCTCAATGACATCGACACTGATGCTGCTCAAACCAAGTGGCAGAGAGAGAGGAGGGTGAGTATGAGCTTTGGCCGGTGTCGCATGAGACGAGGCATGACTCACCTCAGGGCCGGGAGCTCGGGCGTGGCGCTAGAAGCGCGGAGGGCCTGCAGGCGGCTGAGGAGCGAGCTGTCGACGCCGTCGGCCATGCCTGGGTTGAGGCAGTTGGGAACAACAGGGCAAGGTGAGAGGGGGATTGCGTGGGTGTTTGGAGGGTTGGGGTTTCAGGGTTATGAGGGACTTCAGAGAGCGCTTGGCTGTGGCGGGGGTGAATGAAGGTGGGTGAGGCTCGAAACAGAGAGGATCCGTCTATGAAGCAAAGTAGATGGCTTGGCTCCCACGCATGCCCCCGGCGCATCGGAATTCATTGAGACGCCGTGTATTCATTTTTATTCATTTTATTTTGTATTCTCATTCGCAAGGTGTCGGGATGCTTTGTAGGCGTATGGCCAGACTCGACGTGCCGTTCTGCCGACATCTGTGCTCGGTAAAGGTACCTACCAAGCCAAGGTACAGTACAAACCAAAAGGAAATGCGATGCTCTCCAGTCAACGTCGACCAAGTGCAGCTTGAGAATTGCCCAGCTTGTGAGCGCTGACGGGACCGCTCCGTGCCAAGCCGCTGCTGTCCAAACACTGAAGATGAGGTGTTTGCTAGGCGGTGCTGTGCAGTGGCGCAGGCCATACTCCTGAGGTTCCTCCACCCGTGATTTGACTCTCGAGTGTGCCTCGTTCCCGCTTCCTCTCCTTGCAGGTCTGGAGTCAACAAGGAGTCTAAATGCTCAGCCGCATGGAAGTGAGGTCACGGGAATGCCCATCGTCTGTCGTGGGCAACAGAGCTGGGACGTGATGCTGGCGGAGCAAGGCATGTACGGTATTAATTACAGCAGTACACTCCAGTCGCCGGGCGTCACATTGGCAGTCTAGGCATCACTGTGGCGCAGGGGCAAGGCGATAATCAAGCCACGTACATGCAAGCTGCATGCACAGCCGGTCTTCTAGAAACTCAAAGGATGTGCGGAAGTAATACTCCGTAATAAGCTTACCGAATCGTTGACGGAGAGAGAAAAGGGCCTTGGCACGTCTCGGTGCAGGGGTTGGCCGATCCAGGCGCAGTACCGGTAGTCAATCTGTGCACAATGCATGTGCAGCACGTGTGCAGCGGTTTATGAAACATGGATTACTGTCCGGAGTACGGATACGGATGCTGCTGCCCTCGTCGTGTGCGCACGTCGGACGACGAGACAGGCGCCTCTCGTCCTCACTCTCTTCTTCTTTTATCGAGCTCGCCAATGGCGGTGCAGTTGGCTGCGCTTGGTTCCCCGCGCCTTGGCGACGAGCCCTGATTCCATTGATGGCGCGGCATGTGCTGTTCGACCCTTGGGCTCCCGCTCTTTGCAGTGTTGCACACGCTCTCTCGGAGCCAGATGGATCCGGTGCGGTATCCGATCCGGAAGCGTGACAACGAGCCTTGGCAACAACAACGCTACTGCCGATTAAATCATGCTCGCCCCAGTGACCTCATCACCCACCCCCACAGGCTTCCTTCCCTCTTCTCCGTCCGGCCGTCTCGCGGCGAGGCGCCTTTGCGATATCAATCAATCAATCCCCTCGGCCTGGCTAGTGCGCCCGTTGGTGCCTGCCGCCAGGCATACAGTATTACTACCTACAGTATTACTACCTACAGTATTACTACCTACCTCTTCATCTGCGCAGGCTCCGGGGCTTGGAAAGCTAGCGTTGACTCTCCCTCCTGGCTCTCGGCCGGAAAAGCCTACTCCAGAGCTCCAGCTACTGTGGCGGTCCCTTGCCTCGATCCGAGCGCCGGGAAAAGGTGGCTTGACTTCACCTCCGGCCCGCAAGCCGTCGCCTCCCAACCTTCATCCATTCATCCCCGCAGCCCATCATCTGATCCATTACTTTTCTACCTCGTTATATAGCCCGCACGTCCCCCCATTCGAGTCCTTCATCCCCAACCACCTGCCTCAACTTATCGTCCCGGCCCGTCATTCATCTACATCGCCTCCTGGACGACTCACCACGTCTACGACCACAACCATCGACGACTGTCCTCGGCGGTGAAACTAAATCAACGAACCCCGCCCTGGCTCTGCCAAACCTTCTTGGCCTTCCTTCCATCCTGCCCATCGGGGTCTAACGGATCCAAGCCACAAAAGAATGCGTCTCGACTACATCGTCTTCGCTGCGTCGCTGCTCAGCTCCGCCGCAGCGGCTGCAATCGACGGTCCCCAGCGTCCGGAAGCGATCAATCCGGGGCCGCAGCAGGACCAGAACCAACTTTTCAAGCGCAGAGGCGGCGGCGGCGGTGGCGGTAGAGGAGGCAGCAGCAGCAGCAGTGGAGGTAGCAGCAGCAGCGGCGGCAGTGGCAGCAGCGGCAGTGGTGGCAGCGGCAGTGGTGGCAGCAGCAGCAGTGGCGGAGGATCGCGAGGCGGGAGCGGCGGTGGTGGCAGCAGCAGCAGCAGCGGATCGTGAGTTCTCCCGGTTACCGCCTCTACTCCCCGGACCTTTCGCCTGCTAATCACGAGAAACCAGACGCGGAAACACGGCAGCAAGCTCCAACGCCGGCGGCACCTCCCGCGGAGGTAGCGGTGCCAGTCGCGGCTTCGGTGGCGGCCGCTTCTACGGAGGCGGAGGCGCGACACCATACCGAGCCGGCCGCGTCAGCCCTCTCGGCATCGCGCCCTTTCTCCTTGTCGGCGCCGCTCTGGCCTTTTGGCCCGGCGTCTGGCTCTACGGCGCCCAAATGTATCCCTACTCATACACCCACCGCTTCCACAACGCCACCACCGACAAGAACGAGACGGCAAAGGTGCTCTGCGCCTGCGCCGAGTATGACGTATGCGGCTGTGACGAGAACAACAACACGGCATTTTACAACGAGCTCATCGGCAACGGCAGCTATGAGGCCCTCAATAAGAGCGTCGTCAACGTCGGCCAGTTCCGGGGCGCCAAGACGCTCCTCATCAACGGCACCCTGCCCAACGGCACCACTGCCGACGGCCCGGACGAGTCTTCGGCTGCCGGCCTCGGAATGAGAGACCTGGCCGAGGCGCTGGGCTTTTGGCCCCTTACTGCTGCTATCCTGGCTACCGTCTTTTTGGCTTAGGAGGCTGACTGCCCAATCCTGGCGGTGCTCATCATCGTCTTCTGTATTGAATTGGAACGGCGCCGTCCTCTGTATAGTGTTCTTTGCCTCGCAGGCGACTGATACCCCAAGGGCGCGTGGATGAATGGGTTTGGCGCATATCCTGCATAGGATCACGGGGCATGGGAGGCGGAGCGTTTGGTGCACTGGCTACTAGTTTTCTTTTACACTGTTTTCACTACCGAGTTTTGGTGAGAAGATTGGATTGCGTCTAGCCATCATCGTAGTGCCTTGGTCACAATAGACGCGGGACCCTGGGTAACAGCTATTCAAGAAGCGCATACACCGATAAGAGTCTCCCACATGAGCCGCCTGTTCGTCTCGTCAAAGATTTGAGCTTGTTCGTCCATCTCCAACTTCTAAAATCATGCTTACTCTTTTAATCGGCACTCCTGTGCTTGCGCCCTCGACTTGGAGCGTCCATCTCCCAGCTCCTGATCCGCTTTTCAATCCCATCCACTCCCTTTGCGTTTCACTCCGGCAACGAGGAGTCTGCGCTCCCAAATGCAGCTCGATTGCTATAAGAGCTGTCCCAGAGCCCTCGTCCCTTGCCCCACATTCTAGCCCGCGTCTTTCTCCACAGCGCCTGGCAGAACCCTGAAGCATCTCGTGATCGTGCGGCGCCAAACCCTTCTCTCTTCAACCCAAGCAGTTGGCTCGATTACTTGCACTCATTCTTCAAATTATTCAACTGGACGTTTCTCTTCTCAGTCACAGCACACTGAGGCTTCCGTTTTACAACAACCAACCACAAAAGCAGGACTCGGTCGCGCCGTTGCTTTTGTTGGCTTCTGCTTGCTCCAGTCCAAGATTCTCGGCTCGCCACATCAAGCACGCACGTCACTCGCATTGGCAACTCCCGTCAAGCCTTGGGTTCTTTCCCAAACCCTCGAATTCAAGCTTGTGCGAGGTTCACTCCACAGCTCTCGTCTTTGACCCTTCTTCGACACCACCACATTTCGGTGGATTATTTGAGACAAAACCAGCGCCATCCCGAGGCAAGTACAAGCAGCGTCCCAGGCCCTTGCAGTTGCGGGGCTGGGAGCACGGGCCACGTTCCCACCAGCTCCACCAAATAGCTGACTTAGCTCCTCCGGCTAGGCGCTGTCATCGCAATTCACCTCACTCCTCTCAAGGTCAGCGACCACGTCACCTCGCACACCCGTCGCTTTCACGCCCATCGAAGACGCACTCCAGCCCCCCCCCCTTGGAACGGCGACACGGACTATGGTCTAGGCGGCGCTGCGCCTCGACTCGCCCTGGAGCAAGTCGGAAGCAGGACCTCGACCCGACGTGACCATGCCCGACGACTTCTCCTCAAAGGACGAGAGCGCCTGGAAGGCCCAGGACGCCGCCGACGAGCGCGAGATCACGCGCCTCCTCGAACAGAGCCAGGAGGGAGGAAGCGGCGGCCTCACGCTCGACGACACCCCCTTCGACCAGACCAACAAGGCCGACGATGCCCAGGATTTTGAGGACATCAGCGACGATGATCTGCCCGACGAGGAAGAGCCCGGCATCGGCAACTCGCTCGAGCTTCCCGGCCTGACCGACGACGGCGGCACGAGTAACGATGCCGACGATCTGTTTGGCGAAGGCCCGTCCTCGCCCATCGACGCCATCCTCGGCCCCTCGTCGCCTGCGCCCCAGGTCCACGATGTCGACGCGGCCGACGACGCGCAGCCCACCGACGCAGGCCTCAGCTTTGCCGGCATAAACTTTGACCCCGACCCTCACCTCAACGGCGCTGCCAACCAAGACCCCGACATCCCCGCCCCTGCCGAGACAGTCGAGGACCTCCTCAAGGCAGCTTGGCCGGCCTTCAAAAAGGGCCAAGTCCTCACCTGGAGCGAGCTCTTGCCGCCCAAAAGGGCCGTTTGGAAGGAAAAGAAGCCTCTTAAGAAGCCAAAGCGTCTTGTCACCAGCAAGCAGACTCTGGAGTTGGCGCCCGATCAGGAAAAGCAGTTTCGCATTCCTGGCTCCGCGGCGACCGGCAAGCAAAGGGCGCACGAGTCCGCGGCACTCATCCACTGTGACAAGGAGAATATTGTCCAGGATGAGGACTCTGCCCGCATCGACCTTGATCACGAATCAGACACGGAGGCGGTCCACGGCTTCACCTTGCGCGATATTGAGATGGCGTGCGAGGACTGGAGCGCTCGCATCGATGCCGTCGAGGCCGATTTCCATGCCATCCAGGCCGCCGAGAAGGAGAAGGCTGCCCACAAACGACGGGCTGAGGACGAGCAAGAAGACGACGAGTGGGACGCCGAGTTTCTGCTCGACGCGGCCGATGAACCACAGCCCCAACCCCGCAAACGCAGAGTCATCAAGTTCGGCCTCCCGGAAATCCCCCGATACACGGCGCCGTCGTTTGACAACTTCGAGGAAGTCACCCGCCGGGGTTCCAAGCGCGTCCAGCTCGACATGTCGGACCCACATCTTCTTCTCGAGACAGAGACGCAGCGTCCCGCCAAACGACCTCGCCTCGACGCCCAGTCTAAACGCATGTCCAACGGCAAGATGGGCCGGGATCTTTCCCAGCGATTCAACCTTTCCAACGACGAATCCTACGAGCTGCTCAAGGAGAACCACCAGAGCAAGGTCCGCGCCACGCTCGGAAACATCTCCGTCGAGCACAGCATGCCGGCCATCAAGCTTACATGGCCATACTACAAGGTCAAGTTTGCCGGGACGACTGATCAGTACCATCGACCTCGTTTTCGCTACAAGAAGTTTGCCGGCCACGCCATTAAGTTTGACAAGCTGCATCACCACAAGAGGAAGCAGATGAAGGGCAAGGCGCACGAGGTTTTCGCTCATTCCAAGGATCTCAGCATAGGCGACAACTCGACGGCCGTGCTTTTCGAGTACTGCGAGCCAAGACCGAGGGTGCTCAGCAACTTTGGCATGGGCAACAAACTGATCAACTATTACCGCCGCAAAGACCACAAGGACGAGGAACAGCTCCCCAAGCAGGAACTGGGCGACTATCGCATGCTCCTCCCGGAAGACCGGTCACCCTTCTCACTGTTCGGGACCGTCGACGCGGGCGAGACGGTGCCCACGCTGCATAACGAAATGTATCGGGCCCCGGTCTTCAGGCACAACCCGAGGAGTTCCGACTTTCTCGTCGTCCGCAACACGACCGGCGTCGAGGGGTCGAGGTGGTTCATTCACAAGATTGACCATCTCCACGTTGTCGGACAGACATTCCCTTCTGTCGACGTTCCGGGGCCCCATAGTCGAAAGGTCACCAATGCGTCGAAGAACAGGATGAAGATGCTCGCCTTTCGCATGATCCGGCACAGCGCGACGGACAATTGCCAGCTCTCGGACATTACTAAGCACATTGCCGAGTCCACTGACACTCAGAACCGTCAAAAGCTCAAAGAATTTCTTCAGTACGACCGAGACAGTGGCGAAAAGGGAATGTGGCGCCTCAAGCCTGGGGAGATCTTGCCGGATGAGAACGCGATTCGCTCCATGATCAAGCCCGAGGAGGTCAGCTTGCTCGATGCCATGCAGCTTGGCATCAAGGAACTTGAGGACGCCGGATACGACCCCCGCAATGCAAACATTGAGGATGAACAGGTGGCCGATGCCGACGGCGGCGAGGATGACGAGGTTGACGACGAAGGAAGCAAGGTGACAAAAGCCGCCAAGAAAGCAGCAGAGAAGCAGGAGGAGACGCTCGCCGACAAGATGGCTCCGTGGAAGACGACCAAGGCGTTCATCGACGCGTGTGCTCAAAAGGCTATGCTGCAGCTGCACGGCGAGGGTGATCCGACTGGCCACGGCCTCGGCTTCAGCTTCATCCGCACGTCGATGAAGGGCGGCTACATTGAGGCTGTCCAGGGGCCCCTGGCCACGTCGGCTGACGCAATGGAACGCGAGAAACGCGCTAACGGCGGCCACGCGTACAATGTCAAGAAGCAGCAAGCCATGTACGAGGAGGGTATCCGGGAGATCTGGGAGAAGCAGAGGACCACGTTGTCGGACCCGCAGGAACACGCAGATAAAGACGTCGCGGTGACGGAAGACGAAGACGACCGATTCAATGTGAACGCAGCCGCGACGCCCGCGCATTTTGACGAAGGCATCAGCCAGATCAGTGGTCTGACGTCGTCGAGTCGTCACCAAAAGCGCACGATTCGCATCGTCAGGGAGGTCCAAATGGCCGACGGCACCACGCAGACACGCATCGAGGTGGTCCACGACCCCGTCGTTATCTCGCAGTACATGAAGCGGCGCACCGAGGCCGACCTGGAACTCAGAGAGTACGTCAACCTGACCCTCCGCCGTCCCAGCCACTCGAAGCCCGCACCTCGGATCTGGAACCGTCTGTCGCCTTGGGTCCGAGCGTTGCACGGATGGGCATGCCTTTCCAAAACGCACCTTGCGCCGAACTGCTCGCCGAGCTTCCCCTCCCCTGGCTCGGTGGAGGATTACATCGGCTTAGAACTTAAAGCCCCTGCTTACGTCTATCTCTCTACAGCATTTACAGCGCCAGGCCTACGGGTAATGCCGACCATGACCGTCTTGCAAACCTTAGGTATGTTTCTGAGAGTGACGAGTTGAAGTCACAGAACTTACGAGCTGGCAAACTAACGCAGTGCGACTTTAGAATCAAGAAGGAACTCGAGCGACTTGAGAAGAACAAGGCCAGGCGACAAGCCCGAGAGCAACAGAAAGAGCTCCACCAGAAAGCAAACGCCGGCGACGCCGGTTCACCAGGCCCCACTGGAGCCGACAAGATCCCGACGGGAACCACGCGCAAGTGTGCCAATTGTGGACAGGTCGGACACATCAAAACGAATAAGAAGTATGGACCTCCTTGTTTCCCCTCCCCCCCGCGAACCTTTTGATTGGTGGCGTGCACTGGAACCGGAGGATGAGTCTGCTGGGAATGGGCGGAAGAAGCGCAAGCAGAAGAAGAAGAAGTCCCGCCCTCTGCTCCCATGGCTTTTGCGAGAGTCCGACAAGCAGAGACGGGTGGAGGAGAGGACGCAGGCCACCCGCGAAAAGGCTGCGGCTCGAGCATCTCAAAAGGCCGCCAAGGAGGCCGAGAGAGCGAGAGGGCGGCTGCAACGGGCTGAGAGGAAAGAGCAGCTGCAAAGAGATAAAGAGGCCGAGAGACAAAAGAAAGAGAAGCAGCGAAAGAAGCTCCTGAAAAAAAGACAGCGAGAGGCTTGCCGACGTCGCAAAGAGCAGAGGCGGCGGGAGGCTCGCCGACATCGGAAAAAGGAGAGGCGGCAGGAGGCAAAAGAGGACGCCACGAAGTCTCGGCCTCGGCATGGAGCTCTCCGGCCGTGAAAGTGCACGCCACTACCATCCAGTACTGGACGGCTCGTTGTTCTCCATTGATTTGCGCGAAAGTCATGAACTTTGCTAACTTGTTGGTCTTTCAAGGTTATGTCCGCTGCTCAACGGCACATGGAAAGCAGACAGTGGTGCAGTGGAACACGGCGGCTTTGGTAACTACAATGCCCCGACCGGCAACGCGGGATCACCCGATGCTTGAGAGCCGTCGACAGGGTCTGAGAGTGTACGCTTTGGTGGTGCGTTGCACTGTTTGAGGCGACCTTTGATCACGGCTACAGGTAAATGGGATGACCATGCTTTTCGGCGTGGGTGCGGTGAATATTGCGCTTCGACACAGCGGTACGCATGCAATTCAGCGAAAATAATGGCAACCAGTGCACGACGAAGGGCCGACAGGACATATTTTGCAGGCTTGCCAGGCCTATTATTCTACGTCGTGCCTCAATGTGTCTCTTCAGATCGTATTCTCCGGCTGAATGAATGGACAAGGCGCAGGGGAGCGCGATGGATGAAAAAGCTTAGGGTGAGCTACTTGCAGAAATTTCTCACGTCAGGGAAGCTCAAGGCGTCCAGGGTCTGCAAGAGGATCGAGGTTGTGTTTTGTCCAACAGTCGCTTTGCCTTGACTGGCAGACGAAGGCCAAGCACGGACAGGGCAACACTAGTATGTGGAGAGGGCTATGGGAAAAGACCCTAGGCTTGGGCAAATATACCCTGCATTTTCTTCAAAAGGATCTGTGTCTGTGTGTGTTGGCCGGAAAGCTAACAACAGCTGGAAGATCATTGGAGCCCGGCTGGCCGCATCGACAAGGGTGTGGCCACTCCATGGTCTAATGCTGAGATGGTGTGAGCGGATGTTTGGCCCTCATAGAACTAGGTACGCCTTATTCCGCTGTGGATATTCTACATCCGTCATCTAACTTGGTGTTGCGTTGACAGGCGCAAGTTCCAAGCTCTCAACTCAGCCAGCCTTGACTCATCGAGAACTTTCCGCATTTTTTGCAGAGTCGGGAGTCCATTTAGGCGGTAAGTCAGCAGCGGGCGTTTACCAATTCGACTTATGAAGTAGGTGAGGGTTACCGAACTCGGCGTGTCGAGCAAACAAGCCCCCAGTAGCACAGGTGAGAAAGGGGTCCCCGATCCATTCAGCCACGGACCCAGAGGCCATGTTGTCAGGCAGCGAGGTTCAAGGTGGGATGGATGACTGCCGCGGCACGGATACGTGCGTTGCGTGGCGTGCTGTTGGGCGCAGAGGACATACTCGTTGTCGAGGAGTTGCACGTCAGCGTCCCCGTCCCTGCTGCCAAGCCCACGGCTTGCTTCATCGCCACCCCCTCTTTCTACTGTCCCGCCCGCTTTCCATGGCCGGCGACAGGGGTGTCTGTGATTCACGGCTGGCTATGGCTGGCGAATCGGCTTGGGAGGTTGGTTACTGAGCTGCGCGTCGGGATGGAACACTGCGTGCGCTTCTCGCCATTTGAGACGAGGCGTCGTGGGTCGTATTCCTGCTTCCCCTGGCTCATTCCGCTCCCGCTGATACCTGAATTTTCAGGCTCAAGTGTTACTAAACTCGCCGGCTGGCTGGGCATATAATGCGCCATTCCCTCCCTCATCTTGTCCTCTCCCCTTCTCTTCTTCTTCTCATCAACCTACACAGCCCGGGATCTTACGGGCAGAGGGGGGGGGGGGCATCTATGCCCTCTCCCGGTGGCCAGACCATCACATTCTCCTATCGCATTTTCGAGGCCTTGGCCATACAGAAGCATCTTCAACTACTTTGTGCCAGCCTGGGCAGACACATGTCTCACCTTCCTGGCCATCATAGTTCGCCGCCGGCTTCTCTCCCGAGAGGATGGAACAGTATTAGCTTGTCCGATCGACCTGACTGCTTCCGCCCCCAGACCACGCGAGACGAAGCCACACCTCCTCTGCATAGGCACTGCCGTCTCGGATCTGGCATCATAGCCCGGCATCGTGCCTGGGCGCTTGCCCAGGGCAGCCATGACTCACGATTGCTCGTGCTGGCCGGCTGGGGCAATGACCATCCGGGCCAAGTGTACAGCCAGGAGGATTTGGATACATTCAACGCCATCGGGTGCTGCTACATCTGCATACCAGCGTCCCCTAGAGGTCACGGATACCACAACGCTCCTCGGGGCAACGGGAGGGCGTCGCGGTGCAAGAAAAACCTCTGTTTCATGGAGGTGAAGATTGCGGAGAACGAAAGCAACAATGCCGAAAAAGCGGTCGTCGGCGTCAGAGCCCAGGACACCAAATTTGCCCGGACGTGCGCATCGCCGGACCACCCACTCTGGCGCCGAGGTCTGCGTCGTGAGAAACGTCTACATGGCCGTCTTTCCAGCCCGAGTGGAGGCGTCTTGTGCCAAGGCATCGTGCTCGGGTCTGGGTTCGCCATCCGTGATCATGCCGGCTTGTCGCCTGTGTGCGTTGGGTGGGAACGAGCCACCCGTATCTCGGGACTTCAAGACCCAAGCCTTTACTGTGGCCTTTCCGTCGGCGGAGTGAATCATCGTCATGACATTGCACACGACAGGCCCCCCGGGGGTGCTGAGGACACTACCTGGCCCCATTCCGTGCAAATAGACGGTTTACCTCTACAGTATATACACGACTTTCTCTAGACGCGCCTCTCGTCTACTCCCGTCCGTGGCCGCATCGGCAGACAGCCACCTCTTCTGGCCGATGGTGCTAGGGAGACTCTGCGCACCAGGAACTGAGTCTAGTGGAGGACAACCACATTGCCTTCTCACCCGGGTACCTCTCCTGTTCCATCACTCTTGCAAGCAATGGTTTCCGGGCGAGAGGGGTGAAGCACGACCAAGCGACGAAACCTGATCATGCGTGTGGCTCGAACCCCTGGGCATTCTCCTTCGCGTTTCTTCACCAGACCGGGCACTCCTACTGGCTCTGGACATGTACCATTCCGAGAATCCCCGTCCCAAAGTGGACGTGCCCGGGCACGCTGGATGATATCTAGCGTGCAAGTATCCTGGCCCCTCCCCCATACACCCAAAGACCGACCCCCCGACAAGCATACCTTGCACTCAGCTCACTTTATTCCACCACTTGTCGCATGGCCTTTGATTTGAGCGCGCAGCGATGAAGAGAGCATAACAACGGGGTGTCCAGGACATGGCAAAGGGCACCAATGTTGACCGCCCAGGAACCCGGCGATTCGGACTGCACTGGCAAGCCCCAGATAGCCAGGCCGAGACGGGGGGCGAATATCCTGGGCCTGCGGGCGCTCTGTGCGGGGAATATTACAGCACCCTGTGGCAGTGCCCTCTTCGTCGTGGCTCCTTGACAGGGCGAGTGAAGCAAGGCTTAGCACTCGGGGTTGGCAAAGCCGCTGTGACTACTTTCAACACCGGAGTGGTTCACGGATCATGTGGCTAGAAACTAGTGTGCCGGCTCGTCCGAACGAGCTACGGTGTGTCGGCCCAGTGTTCATCAATTGTGCCAAGCCGGGTTGGGTGGTGGTGAACTGGCAGTACAGATGCCCAGGGCAGACATCAATGTTCGGTATTTCGACTTACTCCTGGCTCGGAACAGGCCGAGCACGCGTACGGGAACAACAGAAGGATGGTGAGAATCAAAATACTGCATGCCCTGCAGATGCTGGCATCGGATGGCAAGACATCACCACTCCTTGGACTGCAGGGCCCGAAGACCCTTGTGAGCCGCGTCGCCTGCAAGAAACGAACGGGACCGAGGGTGGGATAGCCAGGGTTACATGTTGGCGGTCGAAAGCGCCCTCTGCGTCCTCCATCACAGCTTCGCCATGTTTCCGTCGGCGCCCAAGCGCAACCAGTTCTGTCAAGAGAACCGGACAGGACCATCAGTCCCAGCCTTTGTACTACGACGACGCCTTCATTAAAAGCGTTGGAATCAGCCCTTAAACGAAGCAACGTTAGCGGGCGTACCGAGCCCGACTCTATCGATGGCTCCCCTGGCCGGCTGGCAAGTCTTGAACCTGCCCGACCTCGTGGTGGAGAAGAGTCGCAGCACCGACCGGAGGTGCCCAAGAAGACCATGTTCGACTCGATTTTGCGTCGGTCCAAGACCTTAGGACACGCAGTCGCTTGGGATCCTCTCCGCCTATCTTCGATCGACGACGCCGTCGACGACGCTATAGAGTTATAGCGGATTCAGGCGCATCTCGACACGGCGGCCTTGAACGACGAGCCCTAGGCCCTAGTAACGCAAGCCGAGCGAACCCGGTACAATGCCCTCCAGCCTAAGATAAGGATAGAGGGCCGGGCGAAGGCGAGGGCGGGATGGGGCGCTGGTGAATCGGAGACGCCTGATAGCGCCAAGCCGGACGCCGCCGCCGCCGACGCTGCCGAGGGGTGGGGGCCAACCCAGCCAGACGCCTGGCGAGACGGGGCGGCCGGGGACTTCAGCGAAGAGGAGATTCGCGCTGCATGGCTCGTCCCCGACAATAGTAAGCCCGCTGCCGCGACCAAGGGCTTAAGATCGGGACGCGTGGCCTCGACGGCGCCGTCGAACGTGCTTGTCCGGGACGCCGTGGCGAGGATCCGGGCTAGATCGCCAAAGGCCGATCTAGTCCACGTCTACCCCTGGGATGCGGAGCTCGCCAACGTTACGACGGCCGATACAGCACCTCCCGAGGCCCCAGACGTTAACCGACTCAACATGGCTATGAAGCAGCTTGCCCTCCACGAGCACCGTATTAGACTCCACCGCTTCGGCCAAACATCGCCAGGGGCAGACCCGGCCTCCCTGTCGGAGCGAGCCAAGGCAAAGGCCCGTGGGAACCCCATGGCGTATGACCTCTTCCTAGAGGGCCTCCGGTGCAAGACGGCAGACCCAACCACTTTCAAGCATAGGCTTACCGAATTCCGCTAAGCTACGCGTAAGATATTATTCGATATAGCGAGTAAGGCCGACGTTATTACTATAACCCTAGTTACGCTTAGCTAGCTAGCGGACTACTATAGTTCTCGCGAAGAGAGATGCGAGAAGTGCATGAAAAATGCATAAAGGTGAAATTAGAAGTAAGGGGTCGGACAGGCAAGGCAGAGATATTTAATTCTTACGGGGGCAGCAATTACGGTAGGGGAGTAATTATTATATTGCCTTAATTATCTATCTTTCCTCTATCTAACGCCTCTCTTTATACCCGTCTAGTATCTCGATTAATAAAGAAGATCCTACTTAAAGAAGCTACTAATATCCTCTTAACTACCGAGCTTTTTGCCGGTTTTCCCCCTCCTTTCTAGCTATTGCCGGCATATCCGTCTTATCTCTCGCTACCTCTATAAGAAGCTATCGCTATTTCTGCTTCCCCTTATATCCCTACCCTCTTCTCTATACCTCCTTTTAGCTCCTTCTTTTAAACCGGGTTTTTAGCTTCCTTAGTCCTTCTTATTAAGGGATATCTCTAAGAACTATAAAATTAAGCTATGCTTCGCGATATACCCTCTTAGCTATAGCCTGCCCTTATAGTAAGGGCATAGCTAATATAGCTTCGGGCTAGTAAGTGTATAGAGGAGGTTCTTAGCTTTATACTTATTTCTTTACTTAAGGAAAGTAAGGGCCCTTTTAGGTCCCTAAGCTCTTTTAGACCTACTTAAGGAATAGGGGCCTAAAAAGGGGAAAGTCTTATAAGAAAGGGGGCCCTTTAAAGGGAAAACCTCTTCCTCTTCTTTAGCTATAGACGTTACCTTCTTATACGGGCTATTAGCTCCTCTTATAGACTCTTAAGGCGGGCCTCTAAGGATAGCTTCTTTTAAATATCTTCTAGCCTAATTTACTATAAAAAGATAGCTAGCTTCTACTTTAGTAGGGGCTTTATAAGACCGTTAGCTTTTATTAATACTATTAGAACTTAACGGACGGAAATAAGTCCCCTTTAAACCTCTTAGTATAACTAATACTAGTAGATATCGATATACTATAGCTAGGTCGATAGCTTACTATTTTCCTCTATAAGAATCTATATAGTCTATATATTATTATATTCTATAGCTAATAGGGACGGAATTTATAGTTATAAAGATATAAGTAGCTACCTAAGGAAAATAGCTTCTTTTAATACTTTTAAAAGAGCTAGTAGCTCTACCTCTATACTTAAAGTCGTAACGGTAGCTTACGTTAAAGCTCTCTAAGTAATAGTTCCTTTAAAAAGGGATATAATATACCCCTATAAGCTCTTTTTATCTAAGGAATTATCTATAAAGGACGAATCGCTTAAATAAAGGAAGATTTTAATAGCTATTTTCCTTCCCTACCCTCCTAAGCGTAGACTAGATAATCTCGTTAAATAGTAATAAAGGATAGCTTAGTCTACTACTTCTTAGTGCCTAGGGCTAGGATTCTAATTATACCTAGCTAGCTAGGAGACTATAAAAGAGATAGCTAGTCTAATAAAAATAGCTTAAAAAAGTAAGGAGCCTACCTTCTATTAGTATTAGTATTTCTTTTACTCCTAAGCTTAAAAGGATAGATTATATAAAGGCTCTTTATTTAATATAAGTATAGAGGGAGGCTTCTTATCGAGGGAATTAAGGAGGAATTTATAAGCGACCTTATCGATATAGGCGTCCTAGGTAAGCTAGATAGTCTATTAGGACCTATTTTAAAGGGTTTAAATCCTTAGGAACTACTCTAGCTCCCTTAGCCTAGTTATCTTATACCTTTATTATAGGCCTTTTATAGCCTCCTTAGTAATTAATTCTTCCTCTTTTAGGTAGGCTTAGATAATATTATTAATATAAAAGAAGACCGTGATTTTACCCTTCTATATTATATATAGTTCTTAAAAGACTTTCTTAAAGCCTAGGGCTTTAAGGGAACCTATTAAATACTATTACTAAAGAAGGGGTAATCTTTATAGTCTATATAAAGCTTTCCTAAGCTATAGAACCTTTCCTAGCTATTAGAAACTAAGGGGAAGTTATATTATTATCGCGAAGCATAGCTTAGTTTTATAGTTCTTAGAGATATCCCTTAGTAAGAAGGACTAAGGAAGCTAAAAACACCTAGTATAGAAGAAGGAAGAAGGAGCTAAAAAGAGGTATAGAAAGGAGGGTAGGGGTATAAGGGGAAGTAGAAGTAGCGATAGCTTCTTATAGAGGTAGCGAGAGATAAGACGGATATACCGGTAACGGCTAGAAAGGAGGGGAAAACCTAGTAAAAAGCTCGGTAGTTAAAAGGATATTAATAGCTTCTTTAAGTAGGATCTTCTTTATTAATTAAGATGCTAAACGGGTATAAAGAGGGGCGTTAGATAGAGGAAAGAAAGATAATTAAGGCAATATAATAATTACTCCCCTACCTTAATTACTGCCCTTATAAGAATTAAATAGCTTAGCCCTATATATTTAACCCTTTACTATTAGTTTTACCTTCGTATATTTTTATATACTTCTTATATCTCTCTTTACGAGAGTTATAAGCCTAGGAGGAATAGTATTCCTATACCTTCCGGCTACTATAAAAGGCACCTTTCTTATATCCCTTATAGCTCCCTTTTACCCTTCTTACTAGAAAAGCCGATTTTTAACTATCTATTCTACCCTTCCCCTATAATAATATCGAAAAATAACTCTGCTGCCCCTATAGTTTATAGGACGATTCTTATAAAGCCCTAAGATTAGGATAAGTAGGTAAAAGAGCTATGGGCTCGTATAAATAGAACTATTTATAATTTAGTCTTCTTTAATAAGTAGGACCCTCTCGAGCCCCCTCTTTATCCTAGGATAATAGAATTTATAAAGGGAGCTTCCCTCTTCTCTAAGCTAACCTCTATATAGTAGAGAGCTTTCTCTACTACCTTAGCTAACTACGAGAGTTATTATAAGGAATACCTTTATAAGATAAAGCTACTAACTACTACTTATATAGTAATAATAGAATCTATTAGTACTATAAAGCTAATCTCTCTTTAAGAGGAAGAGACTCCTAGGTAGTAGCTTTTAAAGCTTAAGACCTTAATAGCTCCCTTAAAGGGCTATATAACTAACCGTATTAGGAAGACCTATATAGCTTACTTAGGAGCCTTTTTTACTAAGAATCTACTAGCTTCTTTATAGCTAGCTAAGTAGGAAGAGATCCTTAAGGAAGCTAATTAATACTTCTTAATAGAAGCTCTTTCTAGATAGTAGCTATAGGATATATCTCTACTAATAAAGCCTATTAGTAATAGTTACTTAACTATCTTTTATAAAGCTAGCTAGGAACTAAATAAAGAGGCTGCTAGAGTATAATAGTAAGTAGTCTTATTCCTTTATAGCTAGCACTCGACCTAGACGGTTCGACCTATAGCCCTTATTACTACGGCTTACGCTACTACTACTACGGCTATTGCCCCTCTAGCTCCTCCTCCCTTAAGAGTATTAATACCGTTTTTAATAGCTGCCTTAGGCCCGGCCCTAGCTCCGCCTCTTACTCCGGGCCCGGCCCCGGTCCCGTTAGTTAGACCGGCCCGACTAGTCCCTTAATAGACCTTTTAGTCCGTTAGTCGAAAAATTAAGGAACTAGTCGAAATCGAACCTCTTCGTTAAAATTAGTAATAAGGGGTAAAAAGGGGGGGGTTTTAAGTAGACCTTCTAGAAAGGGATAAGGACTCCTCGAAGAGATAATATATAAGGAGGAATCGACCTACCTACTAAGTATATAAAAAGCCTTATCGGCTAGAAGACTACTAGTAGGTCTTCGAGGAAAACCGACTTAAAGGAGTTAACCCTTTAAAGAGGCTATAAGAAATAGTATAATAGTCTCTTAAGGAGGACCCCTTGTTATAAAAGAAGATAGACGAGATTTAGGTTACTAAGAAATAATAACTAATAACGCCGCTGCCCTTATTTAAGCCGTAAATTTAAGGAAAAATCGTTAGTATAGTAAATCTAGTATTTATCTTCCTTATAAATTAGTAAGACTACCTATTAAGACCCTCTAACTATCCCTTATAAAAATTAGCTATCCTTAACTTTAGTACTTCCCTTAATATCTATATTATACTCTTATAATTCTAGTCCTTTAAGAAGGTATAGAGGGAATACCTTATTACTAGGGAATTAACTATATAAATAAAGGGATATAGAGGGGTAAATTTTACGATACAATTACTTAATAGATCTATATAAATTCTTTAATAAAAAAGGGTAGCTTTTTATACTTAATTTTTAATAAGCTTAATTTCCTTCCGCTTTCTTTAAGAGGAAGGAATCTTCTAGGATATAACGTCTAAGCCTACGAGGCTAGTCTAGAAGAATTAGACTATTAAACTTATTAAAGAGAAATTCGGTTAATTTATTCTTAAATTATAACCTATTTATAGGAAGGAACTACTTAAGAAGTTAGCTTTCCTTACTTAAAGGAGGGTAGGTTTAAAGGACCCTCTTCTAGTAGCCTAAGGAGACGGTCTTCTTTAGCACGCACGACTTAGTTATCTAAGCCCCCTAGCTTTATATAAGCTAGGCTAATAATAAGGCGTATAAATAAGGGGCCTAAAGACTATTAAATATAAATACTATAGCTAAGGAAAAACTAAGAGACGAATTTCTAAACGAACCCTTTTATAGCTAGACTAGCCGTATAAGGAAATTTAGGTCGATTAGACTAACGTCTCTAAGGATTAAGAAAGCTTCGTTAAGGTAATGTTTTTTATAGACGCTTTTTTAAGGATAGTTTTCCCTTATTTCTTATAGACCTACCTAAGTAAGTATAACTAGTTTACCTTCTAAGACTTTATTAATTAGATAAAATCCTACTTCGGCTGTAAGGTAAAGAAGATATAGTCTAATAGAGAGCTATCTATAAAGGATATCTTAAATTTACTTCGAAAAAGAAGTATTTTACCCCTCCCGTTAGTACTAAATACCTAGGCCTAAAATAAAGGGGCA